GTGGGAAACTGTGGGGAAAAAATCGTTCAAAGGTTACAGGAGGGAAGAGAAGATACCCAATGAAGTTCTGGAGAAATATATGTCTGGAGTTATCTGCTCCGGTAGAGAAGGGTCAAGTAAAACCAAGAAAACAGCACACAGAAAAAAATTATTACATTTTGTAACGTAATATCATGGCCGGCTCTGACCTCAAGAACTTTTTAATAGGACCTCAGAATGGAAATGGCACCAACGCACTTAATCACATCGCCAAGGAAAGTAATTAACCCTTTTACCCCTAAGAGTGACCAGCATCTAATTTCTCCTTACCATACAGCCCTAAATCAAACATTAAGGTCATGAGAATAAAGGAGATGATCACCAACTAAAGAAACTCTTGATTGTTGAACAAATTCTCCTTTTCAGAACCCTAGGAAATGTCCAGGGAGTTATATGGAGAATATGCATACTGATGATTAAGAATAAAGGGTTAAAATATATCCTGGTCAGAGCTTATCTCTGAAAGCCAAAGCTTTAAGTCGCTGGCGAATGGCAGGAGTCGTGCAAGCCCGTCGATACTTTTTAATTTCTCATTTGCTTCTTGTGATCTGCACCTCGTGCGAAGCTTTTCGATACTTTGATGCTGCATGATCTCTGCACATTGGCTGTAAGAAATCCTTTCCCTTTGCCCTGTGTCTTTAGGCCTTTCATGGACTTCCATGTGAAGGAACGCGAGATGCCATCGACGGTACCAGTTACAAACAAAAATTTATCAAGAAATTTCCCGGCAAGAAAACCACTAAAATAACTATCCAAAATAAACCACTGATAATTTTAGAAGACGGAGGTCTACGACAATTTAAGACCTCAATATATTTAAATCGCACGGATACCCTCGCATAATAGATCATAAGGGGAATTTCACTGATAAAGATGGCATAAAAAATGGCGCACTGGGCGCGTGATTTCTTGTGGTTGACTAAGATCCTTTAATGTGTGATTCAGGGGTAATGTTGCGATGAGAACTTTTGTGCTAGACACTCTTAAGGGTTAGAGGGGTAAGTTTAGTATTGATACTTACAAAATTCCCAGACACTTATTCCACGCTTCCTTTCTCTGATTCTACCACTTGAGGAGAACGTGGGTTGTTCGGGCGATACAGCAACCGAAAGAGCAGTCAATTGCTAACTTCTTTTTCAGCAGTTTAGCCTAAAGTTCTGTAAACTCTTAGACAGACTTTCCTTTCTTTCTTAAATAACTTACTTGATTTACAACAGTAGCTCTCTTCATTTTATTTTTAAGAGGAAAGGTGCCCGTATTGTCGTCGTCGGTATCGGCCCAGACGCCCAGAAACCAAAGTATCGTCAAGTCCTTGACTACATTGGAGGCTTACATTTGTTTTTCGTGGACGACTATAAAAATCTCGACGAAGCAACCCACGACATTGGAAAACTGATCTGTCGTGAGTATACATAGCCTACAGGGATTTTCTTCCTTTGTGATATTTTTCTAAAAATTTAGCCGAGATAAATTTACGGAAATCATTGGTGGCTAATATTTCGAGGATTCTTAGGAGTATGGCAAAAAACAAGATTTGCAAGCTTTTTGTAGGATATTTTTTCCACTTTAACTCTGGGCTCTATTTTTAATTGATATTACGTTCAATATTTTTCTCTTTGATCTGTTTGTTTGTTTGTTTTAAGTTGTTGTTTCTGTTTTTTTTGCTTCTTTGTAATTTTAGCGATTTGAAGATTTTCTAACATTTCTGAGAAATATAACAAGTATACCACGTTAGAAAATGGATACTTAAAATACATTTTATGTTTCACGCGTATGTCACACTTCGATAAAAAAAAACTTTTAGGGAAATCACATGCGAATAGAATCAAAGAGCTTGTGGGTCAAATTGCAGGTGTTTGTAGCTTAAAATCGGTAACTGGCCGGCGAATCAGCGTACAATCCCATCAGGGAAATTCCAGCAAAAAACCCGGTGCAAGCGTGCAGGCTACAGCTAGCTCCTCATAATTCTGATTATTTCCCGCAGCACCGGATCCCTGTGAGAAATCTAAAGGGATGGACCTAGCATTTGTGATAGACAAGACCAAAAGTCTAGGGGTGCCGAATCTCTTGCTGCTCAAAGGCTTCGTCATTGAGCTCATTGATGCGTTACACATTGGTCCAAACAACACACACGTTGGCGTGATTACATTTAACAGGAAACCAAAGGTCCTCACCACCTTCGCAGATGAAAAGCTGTACAGCAACAAAGCCGCACACGACTTCATTGCTGGGATGTCTATCGCCCTTGGTGACCTTACCTTCATAGACAGAGCTCTGAACGCTGCCGCACAAAAGCTTTTTACTGAAGAGGGAGGAGACAGACCGAATTTTCCAAACGTTCTGATCCTCTTGTCGGACGGAAGAACAAATATAAAGTCAAAACCCTTCTCCACAATCATCCCTCTTCTAGAGGTTAGCATTCCAGACTATAACAATTTCGTTCCTTACTGATCATCTTTAGCGCCCTTGTAAGTTCTTACACGGCATGCAAAATATCGTGTGCATAATTCAGAAAAATCAAATGTGACCGTTTGAAGCACCACGTCAGGAGGGCCAAAGTAACAAGAAAAATAAGATAAGATTTATTTGAAAATCACTTGTATCGTACCTACTTGACTAACCGCCGCACTCAATGTGGCGTTTATTCCAAATTATGAAAAATGATATCAAGTAGAGAACAACTCGGTAACCTAAGCTATCCCTGGAGATTTCCATTCTTCTGAAACTCAGGGCGCCCAAGTGGCTCATATTTTCCCGTCCCTTCCCTTCACAGGAAAAAAAAGTCCACATTGCTGCCGTTGGAATTGGTGCATATGAAGATTTCGAAGGCCAACTGGAGGAAATCGCGGGAAAAAACGTTTACAATGCCAGCAACTTTGACAATCTGTCGGATCTGTTCGAAAACATTCTGGCTGAAACGTGCAGTAAGTGTACCGAGCGAATCTGTATAGGGTATTCGAGTTCGAATCAGTTCAAAGATCCCATGTGTCGCGCCGGCTGACAAACGCGCTGAAAACAATGCCATGCTAAGAATGAAGTCACTTTCAAATGACACTACCCTAAGTGCGCACACAACTCCGGAATATAGGTAACAACAACCCAAAACAAAACACCGAGGTTTCGAGAGGAGACTGTCAACACGGAATTGCAATTTTAGACAAAAGTCTTTACATCGCAGAGACCACGAGGAGCTCTGCGCCTCATGTCAAGTAGGCACACCTCACTATGTGTTTGTGGTTAATTATTGTTGACATGAGACGAACAAAATCTAAGGGTTATGAATGATATTTAAAGCTCTGATAATTGCATATCTAAATTATATATCGGTCTGAATATCTCAAAAAAAGGTGAATGAAATGTTATTCGATGCATTTGTGGTAATTTTTCGCCTTCATGGGCCGTTTGAAGCGTCTTTTAACGAAATTACTTTTGACCGGAGGCCGTTAGAAGTAATTTCGTAAAATGGTCACAAAAATAAACGTTCAAATAAACGATTCAGTAAAAAAAAGGATGATTGTTTAGAACACAGTTTTGTGAAACTACGGCTTGACTTCTTTTAAATATCCGGCCCCTTGTGTTTAACAGGTGTGGATGGCCATCTTTCCCGCTGGAGCTTCTGGTCTGAATGTGATGCGCGTTGTGGTGGTGGAGTTCAGACAAGAACACGAACCTGTACAAACCCTTCCCGCGAGGGACGCGGAAAGACCTGTAAGGGTCCTCTGGAGGAGACCAGAGCTTGTAATGAGCAGCCATGTTCAGATGGTAAGAATAATTTTCACTGTATTCATTAGGAAGTCCATTTTCGGCAAATTTGGCTGTGAAATAGTGCTGGGTAATACTCTGTAGTTAGCAACATAATAATTTCAAAAATGACTGATTCGCTCTGATTGGCCTAAACCTGGGGATCGTTCTAACTAGTGAATTTAAACCAGTTAACTCATGGTGTGAATCGTTATTAGATTGGTCTGTGTTGCCTTTTGACAACAATAACGAAGAGCTTCGTGTAGCCATTCAACACACCTACAGTCCAAAATTCTTTGCATTTCCTGGCTTCTCACAAAGGCTTCTACTAATTTCAGCAAATGCAAGCGTAATCGTGCGAAGGAGTCTTACAGATATCAGTGCGCATGCCCGTGTGGCTGGCAGAGCTAGAAAGCAAACCCATTCCCCTAAATCTCTCCATCAACTTCTCACATCATTATCACTGAACTCTTTTCAGCCGTAGAGGATGACATCAGAGAGTTCATGCGTCTCCACCCCAAGAGGAGGGTCTTGGGAAAACAGAACAAATAAGGTAATTAAAAATATGGACTGAAGTATGTAGCTCTTGTTCAAGCCATTGCCTCGCATTGCGTTAAGTACTGTCACTATGACGCGTGATCAGCGCACATACATAAAATGGCGGCGTTCACTTGATCGTCGGGGCCCGTCAGAAACATCAATCTATTCCTAATTAAGAATAGTCCGCAAGAACCTTTCTCCGTAATGACCTCATCTCTATAGTTTGAACATGGCAGAATTACACAGAATTAACGAAAACATTAATTACTAAGGGCTCACAATCCTTATCAGGTGGATATGAGGAGTTATTGTAAATATGCAAGGCAGCTGGAGAGGCATGGTGACCCGCCGTTTTATTCAAAAATTCAATAAAGTTCTTCTGAAGAAATAAAACACCAGCTGGTTTAAAAATAGCGTCAGCGCAGGTTGCATGTCAAAGGCGTGACCTTTGAGGTTCGACGTTTCAGGTGACCGATTATGCCTCCTACCCCCAGGAGTACAGACACAATCTGAATAAGCTTTTTCGATGCATAACTTTTAAGTTAATATTTTAAAAAATACCACGGCTCAATGAGTTTCTCAAACTGCTGCTGTTTGTTTCGAATCTCAACAGGTGTTGCCCATGCAGCAATCGAGAGTCATGGGAACCGGGCAACATTAAGTGAAGATTTTGGTAGCTCTGACATTTTAGTTACTATAATGTGAAATACGTTTCCTTGTTACACAAAGTGGGATTGAAAACTTTCATTTTGTAATTGGTTTTTGAGCAGTCGTGAATAAAACTACTTCAAGATCTTGCTGACGAAGACAACATAGACATATTGTACTCAGATCTTAGATCACTGATTTTAGAAAATTTGACAGCGGCGCGATGCGCCAAGTGAAAGAGCTCTCTTAATTTTCAGAGCAATCTTGGTCGAATGACTTCCTTTAGGCTCGATTATCAGCCGCCGTACAGGACAGCAAAGTCAGGAGGATCGAAGACTAAACTCGAGAGTACGGCGGAAATTACGCTTCGACTTAATAATAATAATAATAATAATAATGATGATGATGATGATGATGATATGATGATTGCAATGATTCAGAAGAATATCAATGACTCGTAAAATTCCCAGAAGGACCGTTTAAGTTTTTCAGTCATAATTCTTAAATTTGTGTCAAACTCCACTAAACATTTTGTTTGTAATTCACGGTCGGTTCATATCCAAGCAAGATCAGGATTATTGCTTGGCAAAACGCAGACGCGAACCGCCGCTGTCTTATTATACACCTGACCGCAGGTAAACGGCAAAATAAGAGGGGACTGCTGATTTGAAAGCGTTTCAGACGCGTTCACACCTGCGCCCTCGATATTCTTTGCTTGCGGTAAAGTCGCGTCCTTTTCGACATACTTCATTAACTTTATTTCTGGCATCGCTAAGTTTCCGCCCGTCTGTGGTATCAGACTAAGAACAACTTCACTAGTTGCCATGACACCTGTGGGTATGGACAAAACACCGTTTTTGCGTCCGTTCACGGCCCACGTGTTTGTATCGGAGTCAACATCGTACATGAGTTGTGAAGTATCAGGAGTACCTTCGTCAAATAACTTTGTAAAAGTGATGTGCCACTTGTAAGTCGAACCTGCAAAGAGTTTCCCAGAATCCTCCGCAGGCTCTACCCTTGAACTTATGGTGTATAATGTCTGGAAGGAAAAAAGGAATGCTTAGGGCTGGGACATCAGAAAAGTTATTACGGTTAATGGATTCCACAAGTTGCACAATTTTTTTTCGGTTTAAAAATTCCGTATACCATTTTCTCTGGATATGAATACATACCTAGGAGGCCCTTGCACGTGGTTTTCTTTTTGAAACAATTTCCTTTACATCAATTATTCAACATACATCTAAATCAATGTATTTCACTGAAATCAAAAGTCAGTTTGAGTTACGTTTGGTTGTTGTAGTATTAACTTTCAAGTCCACTCAGTTTAAACAGAGAGTCAGAGAAACGCCAGTGTTTACCTTGGTATTATCCACATTAAAGTCGTAGAGATAGTTTCTCTTCTCCGATGAGGAAAGAATACTGTCCTGCAGAATAGAATCAGAAAAGGTCAAGATAAATTTGAAGACAAGGCGCCAAAAATAAGTAGTATAGAATGGGGGAAGAATGCCTCCTCTGGTTGAGAAAATGGAAGCGGTCGCGACAAATTTTGAGAGAGCGTATAGACTATAGGTCAAGTCTTGCGAACCTAGCGGCCCACAATACCTTCACATATCCTTCTTCCAAGAGCATGAAGCGACTGGGAGCATTCTACCCCAACGGAACGGGATGTTAGTTTCAAGGGATGCTCTCCTTTGTATGAATTCTTCATGACCCCTACAAGACTCAAGCCATCTCCCTCCAATCACTTCTCGCTCTCACCTCAGACTCCATCGCGCTCCCAACCGGCAGGTCACCGCAAGACCCAAACAAATGAATATTACTCGAGGAATAGCTGAGTGAAGGAAAACGTTTCTAGCAATATCTCCATTGATCTAACGCTATCTTTAACTAATTTACAATCCTACCGTAGTCTCCTTTGGTGAAAACGAAGTCCTAAACTCGCACTCGAGCGCCGACGCTGAACCTGTCGAAAGAAATAACACTCGGCTTGCATTTCCGTAGTTTTCTTCTGAAATCTTAAATAATAGGGCGCTAATATGACATGTTTACCAAGCTCAACATATTTTGCATCCGATCATTGCGACTATAACCAGTCAAACTGTTTGTCTCCTCGTTCAAACGACATTACTTGTCATCAGACTAAGAGCACATTTCTAATACAGAAAAGGGAATCGAACTTCCTTATCTAATAAGAATTCGCGAGATAACAAAAGCATAAGTGTACTGCACGATGTTTCCTTTTAAACCAATTAAAACAAAAAAACGAAAGGCGATTTTTACATTCAAGAGAACTGTAGAAATCGACAGCAAGCGTAGTATTGGAGCTACTGGAAAAGTTGACATTAATCCCTGGGATAAAGCCGGCATTATCTAATTCCCTGGGAGATTTTTCCCAAGTGGAATCCCAAAGTTTAACCATCATAACTGACACTATACGCAACTTATCTTGTTGGATTGTTTCTTATCTTATAAGATTATTTAAATTGAGAAAAGGTTACCTTCCTTACAATCGACTTTCCAGAGGAAGGATACCTCTTGGTTGTTGACGATTATCTAAAAAATATAAAATCAAAGATAAATAGCAAGAAAAAGGAAATGCAAATACTGAGAATGTGTAGTAATTGAAACACTCACATATTCCACAGAGCTGTGCAGAGGTGTGACCTTCACCGAAGAGCAGTTGGTGATGATCAACTGAGGAGCTGAGATGACAAGATCAATAGGATTGATTCCACTTACTATCACTTGAACAAATCGGCTGAAAAAAGAATTTAAAAAACCGCATCAAGTTAAAAAGTAGTGCCAGCAGTCCCTTTTTCAAACTAATTCCATTTGTGTACACTAAGAAGTCTTCTTCAGGTATACGCAAATGGCCAATCAGGAGAAAGGGAAAAACCTTATAAAGCCAAGTAGAACTCCAGGGGAAAATAAGCAAATAGCCTAAAGCGCGGGAAAACGCGGGCGACCAAGTCGTGATTGGTTTTAGTTTTGCATCTGATTGGTTGAGAGTGTGGCTTGAGAGTTTTCCGGACCAACCACAAAGCCAAAAATAAAGCCATCCACTCGGGATTAGTTCAAAAGGCCCTAGATCAAACATTTCGTTGCTACTCACTTGCTTTCAGACGAGAGAAGCACGTGACGAATGGAAAACGGACGGTGAAACAAGCATGAGAGCTCTGCGATGACCACTGGAGACAGCCACTTACAACTGAACACAAGCTGAAAAGAAAACATGAACATATTCTAAATTTCATCTTTAACTTTGATCGTCACCCTAAGAAAAAATGCTAGTCTTTCTCAATTCCGAACCTTGTGTTCTGTGATTTCCTCCTGAATACTCTGCTTCTCCAAACTTGCACGCAGCTTCAAGTTAAAATCGATTCTAGCGTAGGGTCCCAAGGCTGGAAGGGTAACCATGGCAACAGAGCTGCCAGGGACACCATCATCTTCAGGAATCATGTTGACTGCTACACTGTAGGGAGCTGTTTTTCTCTCCTCTTTACCCATTAAGCAATTTATAATAGCGTGTCCGGACTGCACAGGTTCGAAGGTAAGACCAGCGTTTGTAGAGATTTCCAGCACTGACCCGTCTGCAATGGATCCAGACTCGACTGACACACTGAGAGTAACTTGTTGTAGCAGGCCAGATAACAGATGATGGTCTAAGGGAAAAAAACCGGGAAAAGATAACTATAAAAGCTAAGTTTTTTCGTTTGTCTCACGATGTAGTCACGTGTGATGTAGATCTACATCGTGAGACAAACGAAAAAACTTAGCTTTTATTGTTATTCACGATGAATAACCACGACCTCTTTTACGAAAAGATAACTAGTTGCCAACATTAAGGTAAAAGACAATAGATTACAAAATCTTGTTGAGCCTGTTAAGCCTTGGCATATAAAATTACATAGAGGCCGAATATTTGCACTACGGAAAAAAGTCCAGGAAAAAAAAAGCAGCAAAATGATTTGCAGTACCACTTATGGGGGAGATAATATGAGCAATTATACATTGTGAAAGAACAAGGATATTCGCTCGCCTCTACCAATCAGCTAAGTATGCAATTGTTCTTTGGAGCACGCTATGTAATATGGATATTCCAGAAAGACAAGCTAACATAACCAGCTAACAGTCATGGCGCTATAATTACAAGGTTCTAGAATTGCCAATTAACAACAGTCTCCTTATAAAATAAAAAGAAGGACAAACCCCTTTCGTGAGTCCAGTTTATTTGTGGAGGATCGCACACGATGGCAAATCCTCTGGACTGCCTTGATAGAGATAACTGTGGCCAAACAAAGTCCAGACGACCAATCTCCACACAAAGCTGCCTTAGGAAATAGTTACCTGGTTCGGACAGCTGCAGAGAGGATTTCAAACTGGTAAGAATAATGAACTGAGCTCAAACCGTATCATCTTTCTTACCCCATCTTTAACCAGAACGCTCCTGATATTACTAATCCTTGCTGAATGCAGGTCACTTTTTACATATAGACTTACACTCCGTCTCTAGAAGAACGTTTACAACGTTCTTTCGTCCCTCTTCCCTTCCAATGCTGTTCATTTCCAGTGTCTTCGTTGCATCTAGTCGGCCAACAATGAGAGTGGCAAGCGGAGGCAGTAAGTGTTCAGACAAACGTTGGCAGGAGTATGGTATAACGATTAGTTAGATACTGAGTCCTCTGTTAATCAGTTGTTCAGCCATCCGATCGCCAGGTTTCAACTTCATAAAGGGTTTTGGGGTACTGCTACGCCCAGAGGATAGATGCAAGGCCATCACTGGCAAACTCCCCCCCCCTCCCCCACACCCCAGATTATACTCGTAGTGTTTGACCATTCACGTACGTTACGTTAGGTTTGTACCATCACCACTCATTACGTGGGTCACTCATCATTCTAAAAAGTAAAAAGGGTCAAATTGTTAACATCAGGCCCTAGTTGTTCGAAAAGCGGACAACGCTATCCACTGGTTAAATCTCTATCCAGTGGGTAGCGCAGCGCGTATGAGACCTCTTATCCCCTGGATAGCGATCCATCCGTTGGATAGAGTTGTCCGCCAATTGAACGACTTCACCTTGATTCCAACAATGAATAAGAAAGCCAACCTGTGCAGTGAGGTTATACTCGTTGACCCCATATTTCAAGGGAACATTGAAGCATTGTAGACAGCAGTCTGAGTCACCTCCATCTGTTAAAACATTCAACTCTTCTACACTCTTCACCTCTGGTAATAATGGCGGTCGAGGGGGCAGCGGACGAGATTTTTCTACTCTGTCAACTTCAGAGAGCGCTTCTCCGTCTGAAATGGGAAGAGCACATCAAAAACCCAAAGAAAACGATAAGAATAAACCTTTTAACACCCTAACATCAGTATGCATATTCTCTATACTGTTCTCTCTATATATTTACCATTGTACTGACAAAGATAATCTGCTTATGAATCATGAGCCTCTTTAGTTAGCGTCTTGGTAATCATTTCGTCTATTCTCACAATACAGTATCATTGCGGAATCAAACATGAAGTTGACTCCGCAATGATACTGAGGCTAGAGGTTAAGGATGGCGAAGATTTTGCTGGATCGCCAGGCGCCAAAATGAAGGTTAAATTATTCAAAACCTACAAACTTTGGAGTATTTAGTCCGGGAAACAAATTACCTAAGTTTCAAAATTCTCTCCACCTCTCTTCGGTTAGTTATACTTAGATTTAGTTAATTTCTCCTTCAAGTAAAATCTTAGTGTGATTCTAAGACACTGCGTCACACGGAGTCATTGTGTGATATTGGTAAATGCTACAAATCATTCGCCACGGTATCGAAAGCATTAATATTTATTTATCCAAATAAATGTATATGGAGGTGTAATTTAACCGACAACAAATAAAGACAATTATCTAACCAGATAATATACCGAAACGACTAAAAGAAACAAAACCAGGACGCTAATAAAACATATATAGATTATGAGAACGAAAAACTACTAGCACGAAAATCAACTATATGACAAGTGCTGGCGAGTGAAGCAAACAAATACTGATGAGAGAACAATTGTTTACCTTTACGTAATCCTTGCGTAACCTCACGCAAAAACGCAAATAAAATAAAATAAAAATTATTTAGCAATTATTTTTGAAATACTAGTTGCTACACGTGATATCATAACAAAAATCAAAGTAACGGTAAGTCGTACCGGCTGCTTGATCCTCTGTGACAGGTTTATCTGACAAGTCTTCCTCAGAGAGCGCAGCTGAAGACAGCCTATTCTCTGCAACTTCTGGCGGAGACGTAGCTCGGTTTCTCTTACTTGAACGAATGCTACCCACACGCTTAAGATCATTTGTCTGAATACTGAAGCTGATCCGTCCACAAGTAACCTCCTTTGAGGGAAACCGGGAACTTGTGAAAATTTAGAACAAAGAAAAGCAGCTTTGTCCCTCTGGACTAATTTTTTCTAAATTGTACGAGTTTATCATTCTCAAACAGTTTCAATCCTTTTAACCACTCCTGGGGGACCTTGGCAACGATTAATTCCACGTATTACCATTGAGGCAACTCGCTGACACCTACAGGGACTCAATACATCAGTGCTTTGCTTCTTTAACACAATACACCCTTGTATTAGTTTGCATATTTCCATAATGTTCTCTCTACACCTCCTTTGATGTTGACAGGGAGAATTCGTTTAAAAATCAATAACCTCTTAAGTTGGTGATCATCCCTTAATACTCATGACCTTAATGTGTGATTCAGTGGTGATACCATAGAGTGAGATTAGTTGCTAGTTACTCTTTGGAGTTAAGAGGTTAAAAAACAGTCCAAGTATATAACATTGAAAAGCAGTTAAAGAATCATTTTGTCAACAAAAATACTGAAGCAAGCATCACCTCCTCCAGAGCGCTGAACAGCTTGAGTTTGACATTAATACTCTCTCCAACGCTACCAATACCCTTCATCAGATCAATTTGTACATCTTCTACTCGTAGTAATGGTTCAGCTCGTACAATGATGGCTTGCGCTAGAACATAACATGGAGAATACGAAATTGAAGGTAAATGAATACAGTGCGACGCAAGGTGCACTTCAACACCTTTGATCTCAGCTCAACACCTATTCAATTGTTTAAAACGATATAATCTTTAGAGTCTGACAATGACTGCCACTCGGATTGCTGACTCGCTACAAACTAAGTTGTGCATAAGTTGAGAATGATTTCGTATCCCATGTCTAGAAAGATGTGAGGGAAGGCACCAATCATCGCATGGGGAAAGCCTCTAGGAAGAGAGGAGTAAGAGGTTATGTTCCCTTAAAGGGATTTTAAAACAGACTTAAAAATTCTTATTTTAACTTGAAGTAGAGGGGGGCTGAAGACAGATGAGAATTTGATACAACATTTGAGAACTTTCGAGAGTTGTATAATTTTCGTGAATTATTCCATCGACCCGACTTTTCCAAAGCTGTGAATACCTGAATCCATTGTGTCTCGCATGACTTGCAACAACTCCTGAGTGTAGTGGGACCTCCTCTCGGATGGCAAACTCTGCTCACAAGCCAAAATCGAACAGGAGGCAGCATATCTCATGGGTTAAGGATGGCTTTCAATCCTGCCAGTAGTCCTTCAAATAGTAGTAATTTAAGACTGATCTTACGCCGTTTGGGAATCGATCCCCGCTTTCTAATTTCAATATGGAGATCAAAACATTCCAGTTCTGATCAAATTTCTAAAGGATACTTGTCAAGATGTTTGAGCTGCTTTTGACAGCGAGCCAGTTTGACCAAACACTGTGTTGCAAGCAGAATCCACCTCTCGTGTTTGTACATCTTGTATGCATCAACAAGCAGAGGCTCTGCTCGGTAAAACTCTCCACGGGAACTAAAAATCAACACAAACATGGGCATAACCAACAGCGGGCTCTTTAACCCTCTACCCCCTGACATCAGTATCCATATTCTCCATACTGTTCACTATACATTCCCCAAGGTGCTGGCAAAGAGAATTTGTTTAATAATCAAGAGCTGCTTAAGTTGGTGAACATTTCCTCTATTCTCATAACCTTAATGTTTGATTCGAGGGTGATATTGTAATGAGAAATTAGATACTGGTCACTCCTAAGGGTTAAAAAAAGGTTAATTCTACACTCAAGCTCACTAGCTTGTACTGTCGGAGCTTTTCACGGTTTGCGTAACATGAAGGGATTGGAAATATTGCTACCTCCCCTTGAAGGAGAGGGATGCTCATCCATAGCAGGTCACCCCCCCCCCCCCCCCCCCCCCCCCCCCACCCCACCCCCTCCACTTCGTTTTGTCTGATTTTCCTGACAGTTCGCCAAGGCCCCATGTATACCTATGGGTAGAGTGGGTGGAGGGAGGGGAAGCACCATGAGGGTTAAGTATTTTTCCCAAGAACACAACAAAATGACCCAGCCAGATCTCGAACCCAGATCTCTCGACCTGAAGTCCAGAGCACCAACCGTTAAGCGACCACGTTTCTTACAAGTTTGCTCTTTACTGCGACCAATTTTGATCTTAAAAGATTTAATTGACCATCGAAAGTAATTTTGTACTACACTGGCTGTGCTTCATTACAATCTGAAATTGATCCGACTCTCTCTGGTCTCTGATTTCAGAAATTCAAGCTTGAGCGAAAGGAATTTTTTAGCTGATAAACCTCCTCATTAGGACACAAATAAAAGTCAGTAAATTCCTTATAGATTCATGAAGAAGAGAATGGTGAAGTTTTACACATTTGAAAAAATAACCAGTCTGAAACAGCACGCACATTGCAGCAAAGCCAGGTCATTTGAATATATAAAATGTCCAAGAGTATACCAGGGTAAAATAATAATGATGAGAATAAAAATATGTATATTTATCACTGGTTTAAACAAACAGATTTATCATATTGGTATATTTCGCACTCACAAGTAAAACTGTGCCAGGTCCACACCTAGAACCTTAGCAGCTCGAGCTCTACCGATGTTCTTAAAGACTTCGATTGCTCGCTCTGTCAAATCCTGTTGAGATGTAAGTAGGGTACGGCTGTCAATCAATACAATCAATACAATCAATACGGTTGTACATTGCTTTTCCTACACCTCACTCAGTAATTGGCTCAAAGAATCACAGCATCTTTTAAGGAAATCAGATGCATAAACTCCAAACTATTCCACGCTTGAGAGGCTTTTCATAAAAAAATTTCAGTTCTCACTGTCTCTGAGAAATGTTCAGCTTTGTTTTGTAAGGTCGTTGGAAATACACCAGAAATGTTCAGCTTTGTTCTGTAAGGTCGTTGGAAATACACCGCATGGAAAACTTCAAAACTAGGTGGAAAACTCTGACTCGTGGTTTCGAACGCACAAAAACCCTACGCATACATCCTCTTAAAAGCAAAGTGTTCTCTCAAACGAACACTTCTTCTGTTCCAAGGGTAGCAATTTAACAAAGCTGGACTGGATTGTTTAAACCAGATATAATCCAACTTGGATTACCCCATGCATACACTGTATGCTGGCATGGTAAATCTGATTTGGTACTAAAATATAACGAACAACTTGGCCTATTCTTCTCACCAGGTATAGTGCTTGAAAGGCATTTTTCGACGACAGAGCCTTCTGGAGTCTTGTTGATGGACTGTTGGGTTGAAGATCTCCTGCAAAACAAAAAGGGAAAGGTGTTTTACACCTATAAAAAGACTAGCGATTGCTCGTCCGTTTATCAATATTTCACAATACACTTAGTGATTTGATTATTCGCAAAATTAGACGAACACCTAAAAGGCTCAGCCTAGTGGTATATATTCCGTCTAAGGCAGAAAAACGGCACACAAAAATTGCACCGTCAATCCTTTCCTATCCTATCCGTATCGACCAGACTACCTGTACCAAGTATCTTATCTGTCTCTCCAGATGTTCCGATCTTCCGTGGCATTCGCAAGATGCACAACAGCGAGCAAAAGAAATATATCAAAAAAAAGACTAACACTATCCGACCGGTTACCACCTGGCGTACTGTTGATGCGGTTAGTGGAGGAAATGGTAGACTCTACCAATGTTAAACAGACTCGCAGAATCATGAACACATAAAAATTAAGGTGAACCTACCATCGGTTTGTGTTTTAGCTATCCCGGAGAGCAGGGTATCAGTAATCTGTTGAGCAATTTCTGTTGGAGTGGTATCAGGCAAAAGGCCACAAAGAGATCCCAATTCGTCCAGCTGAAAAAAAAATGTAACAATACGCAGTTAGAAATGTTTTGTGCGAAAACCTCTACTTCTTAATTTGGACACGAGCAAAATCTTATTTGGCATTCATGCGCACCTTAGTAGAGACAGGATGCAGCAAATTTTTCAGCAATTTTAACTGTCTGAAAAAACAAATCAGTTTCAAAACTAAAACCGACCGCGTCTTGGTCACCTGCGTTTTCCCGGGCTTTCATTTTCCCGCTCTTCAGGCAGTTTACCTCATTTTATTTTGAGTTTTTATTGGCTCCTTTCTTGATTACTTTGATTTTAGATTTACGACACCAAGAAAATGCGTGATGAATGATACCTTTTGTTTAGCATACTGGTATAGAAGAGCAAAATGCAAACTGTAAATCATATCTTCCCGAAAACATTGTTCCTCACAAGCTTTTAACACCTCCAGGCTCGTTAAGATGATACAGCACGATGCTCCACCAGTCGGCATGGAGATCTTGAAGAAAAAAATTAAGCCAAGAAAAGTAACAGATTATGCCTTGTGAGTTTCAAGTGCTAGAGGTCATCGCAATAACAAGAATATGAAGGTGGTAGGAGCATTGATACTCCCTAGGATAGGATGATACGCCGTGAACTTCATCACAGGTAACGTCCTGGTAGTAAGTCAAGTTTCCCTGAGAATCCGCTAGTACTCAAACAGCCTCCCGGGTGGGAGGAATTATTTTGAAAATAAAATATCTTGCCCGATAATATGACACAAAGAACCTGAACCACAGCTGGTGACCCTTATCCTATTAACAGGAGTATGATCATTATCCTCCTGAGTGGGAAGAAGTACTTTAAAAATTCAGCGTCTTCCTCGATAACACGACACTAATCCCTTAGTTAGGGCTTGGACCTTGATCTGTTGTCACACAGTCCTTCTCTCCTTCATAACAGATGTCTTTCTTTAGCGTGGTTCAGGCGAGAGAAGGCAAACGCGAGGCAAACGTGAGGGAAAAGACACGCGCGAGGGGAGGCACTCCTCTTGCTATCCTCGCGCATTCTTCGTGTTTTCCAAGCGTTCTCCACGCGCTTTCCTAGCGTTTGCCTCGCGCTCGACCCCGCTCCTCTGAGAAACGCAAGAACATTACGTTTGAGTCAAGAATTCCAACCTCTGAGCCGCCAAATCTCGCCAAATGGAACTTCATGATATCTCAGACAAATATATTTGTGGATCCCGAGCAGTTTTGAGATTATCTATTTTTAATATGAAGAAAACTTCTCAAAAATTACTCTGATACCTTAAGTTCATCCATTGCCAGTTCATGAACAAGATTGTGTAAGAACTCCAACAAACGTTGAGCAATTTCCCATGCACGTCGCTTCAACTTCAACAGAAGGATGCATTGTCGGGAAAAAAGGTAATTTCGCAGGTCAACATAGCTGGCTTCTTGAGTCTTGATGAGTTGTCGCAAGAAGTCTTGAGAACTCTTAGCTAACAATACTCCATCAAAACATATACAGTCTCGCATGAAAACATCGATGCAGTCAAGGGGCTCTTGGTGAGGAAAAAAGGTAAATATAAGTCAGAGTTTACATGCTTTCCTTTTTTAAGGAAAGTTAAGCAATACAAATACATCAAAGAAGATTCTTGATTTGATAATAATCTACACTTCATTTAAATACTTGTAGAAAAAAAATGGCTGTCCGGACAAGGAAGCCCCCAGCCATAAGATGTGAAAATCAACCATGTGAACTTGTGAAAACCTCTGGTCTAACTGATCTTTGAGAAGAAGGAGAAAAATAAAACACATATAACTGTTCCCTCCCAATACCTTTATATTTAGAGTTGATGACCAGCTGAGTTAGAAGGGCATCTATTTCATCATATTGAATCAGAGCTTCTTCATAGAGACCCAGCATCTCAAACACAAAGGACAATTCCTCCTGAATATTAAAACAAAAACAGCAACCCAGTTTAACAAGTGGTTTTAACCCCCTCACTACCAAAACCTAAATAGCAATATTCCCACAAATATCTGCCCCAAATTTCACACATTTTGCTCTGAGAATTTGGTTTAAATCAAACATACTCCTAGTTCATCTTATCCCATTTTCTCATCACTTTTCTGTTTCGCGATCAAAGTTGTCTTTAGTTCACTCCTAGGAGTGGAAAGGTCATACCAACACAAAGACAAGATACAGTGAGTATGCAACCTACAATCAGTAGATTTAAGAGATTTAGAATCAAATCTTTTATCTTGCACAGAGAAGTGTTGTGTTTGAACTCTACCCTTTTACTACTAAATTTGAGTCTGATACTTTTCCTTGAAAATCATCCTTTCCTCAGAGTTTGTAAAGACCTCCATTAAGAGGGATGGGCATATTTTCATGTGGACAAACCTCTGATATCAAAATTACATCTTACATGCAATAAGAAGTATGTAGTAAAGCTCCATTGTGGTTCAGTCCGTCTCTCCCTTAGTGACCTGACTTGATCTTCAAACTTCCCTAAGTGTCGATTGAATGACTGTAACAACAACTGCCGTAGTTTGGTGACCAAGTTCTGCCATGATTCTGCAGATCGTGTTGCCTGGCTCTCTTTGAAAGGTTCCCAAAGTTGTATTATTCTAGGATGGAAAAAGGTAAAATAATGGCTGGTTGAACAACACTGACCCTTTTACCCTTTACACTCTAAAATCAGTATGCACATTCTCCATAAATTTCCTTGGGTGCTGACAAGGAGACTACATGTATGTTTAACAATCAAGAGCTAGCTTCTTCAGTTGGTGATCATTTCTGTTTTTGTTGTGACCTTTAAAAATGCATCATTAGGAGGGTGATTTTGTACAAAAAATAGATTCTAGATACTCTAAGAAATCAGAGGATTATTAAATGAAAGAATTAAATTTCACTTCCAACTAACAGTACAGGATAATTAAAGGATGCACATTTGTGTAATGTGCAGCTTACTGGTTGAGGTTTTAACATTTGCCTAAGAGTGCATATGAAAACAGTTTTTCTTTTCATACTGTTGTAAAACAAATTGTTTGAAATGTATCACTCCAAAGTTTGAGATATTTTCCATAATAGTTTTCAATTTTACAAGAGCTCAAAATTAGCCTGTATTTTGTACAGGCAGCTTCCACATAAGTAGATTTTCATGTGGTTTTCACAACAGTGTTACTGTTTACTTAAATCAAAAGTTGACTTGAAACAACAATACGACAAACAAGCATTTTTTTCATTTCTTGCAGCTAAACAATCTGTAATCTCAGACAGTAAATTTACCTTTCACTGTTCTTGCCACCAAAGTCACTTTTGATTTTGTCAAACACTGTGCTGCGAGGAAGTGTCAACTTTGGTTTGTTTCCCCTAAGTGAGTCCTGAGCCACAACTTGGATAATCATCCAGTCCACAATATTTCTTTCACGTAGCTTTTTCATCCAATCTGTGATGCTGTCTTTTACCCCACTTTTAAACTCATCTGCATCCTTTTACAACAAAATTATAAACAATAAATTCAAGGACCTACTGACAGTAGTTGCAGCTAACTTACTATACAATGCAAGTAAAACAAATTTCAAAAACCATATCAATCTTACCTTGTGGTCACAACTTTATTTTCAACAAAAAAATATTAAAAGAAGAAAAAGCCAAAAACAACCATTACAACAAAAAGCTTTTGAGGATTTCCCACCCAGAATGCAAAACACAATGAAAAAACTTTTAATTAAAAGAATGACTTGGACCAAAACATTTCAAATGAAAAGATCCTATGATTTGTAGGAGAAACTGGATGACATTTAACTTACTTGACTTTTGTTAACTCTGTGATTAACATGTAACTTCTCCCTATAATATCCATACAATATCCAGCAAGCAGGTAATGAGAATACTCAAACTTATTAGGTTAAAGTTGATATCTAGATCTAACACCAAATTCTCCCAGCTACTTTACAAGGAAATGTGCAACAGCTAGAGGGGAGAATTAATAATCAGATCAAGGGAGTTAAAGGGTTAATATGTTACATATTACTTTCAAAGCCACTTTGTAAAACAATGCATGTAAGTAAACTAAGATGTTGGGAAAAAAACAAAGAAAATCCTTTTGGATTGCTTGTATTAGAGAATGATACCTTGGGGTAAAAGACTATGCAACAAAGTTGTTTTCCAAAACAATTTCCCTTTACAGTTAACTGTTCATATTGTTGACAATCTGACTGCCTTAAATACGGGTACTCACAATATTATGCAAAACATTGGTATTGTCAGTACAAATTCCATACATTACATTGTCCACTGATGAGGAAGATAATTCGAAGATACAATAACTAAAGCTTGGAGAGAGGAGACAAGGCAAAATCTAGCCTAAAACTGCCATTTTAACGCAGTTTCTGTGAGGTATTTTATCACTTGGAAAAGTTTTGATTTACATGTCATTACATGAGCTTATGCGATCATCTAACAAGTTTATCACAAGCTGAATTATATATGTATTTTGATTGGTTGTTACATATGATATATTCCTATATCATAGATGACATCACCATTAACAGTATTTTACTTTTTATCATATAAAATGAATAGAATCCACATTGTTGTGGGTCTTTATAGTATAGGGTCACAGAAGATGTCAAAATTTTGGTAAGTACATAAGTGGAAAAATCAGCTGGGCCTTTCTTGCCACTTTTTAGTTCTTACCACATTTTGACATCATCTGTGATCTAATACTAAACAGACATATAGCAACATGGAATCTATTTGTCAAGTTTCTACCTGACAATCAGTCCAATAAATATGAAAGAATGGCTGTTTGTGAAGACTTGAAGCACTACTAACACTACTGACATCCATCAGCATACCCTCAGACAAACGCACAAAATTTGCCTTCAGTTTTACAGTCTTGGCAGGTCTTCCATAAGATCTAAAATAAAATCCATCAATCTTGTTAACCAAGAAACATTTATTAAAAAATAATCTGCACAACTTCCATTTACACTTTTTACATCCCTGAAAATAATACTGAGATACTTGTCCACAATTAAATGTTATTTGCAAAAGGAGTACTAATGAAATATTCATGGCATCTTTACCATTTCACCCAAAGAATGTCTCCTTTTCCACCCCTCCCTAACTGCTTCTAATAGCAAATGGGGTTAACAAACTTTTCATTAAGAAATGGAATAAGAGTAGAACAACACAAACCCTTTCACTCCAAGTTCCTTTTAGTAATTCTCTTTTCTGTCTGCTATACAATTTTTTTGTGTTAATTTGAAAAATTTAGCATTGAGCCAACTAATAATCCCCCAATTTATATTTTTCGTTATTCTGATCACTTGTCTGCTTGATATTGTAACGAGAAATTCTTCTTGGTAACTCATAGGAGCTAAGGGATAAAGTAACAAGGAATGTTTGTATGAATTAAAAAAAAAAAAAAAGAAATAAAATTAGGCCATACAAATTTTGCCAGAGAATTCTGCAATCTCTGATGCCTAGTGACCACCCTAGGTCAGAGGGTAAGAAAAATGTGTCTTCTATTTTTTTCTAGACCTGAAATCATGATATTCATCTTTCTCACCTTCTCCATTCTGTAGATTCTCTTGGCAGTCTCTTAGCAAGTTCTGGGTTAAGTTTATTATACACATCTTTGTCACCATGACCTGTAATTCAAACATGTCTTGGCATATCAAATTAATCTGCTTCTGACGTGTCTGTTACTATGAACATCTTGATAAAGCTGATAACTTTAAAATACCCAACAAGTAATGGAGAAAGTAAAAAGTACACTACCATAGCTTAAAATGTGAGTAATAACAAAATTAATGAGGTTAGAGAAAAGGGATCCTTGCTCTTTCTGAAAGCAATTTTGGGTCCATTACTCATTAAAGCTAAAATTCTCCCTTCCTATTTTCAAAAAATTAAACATCATCCAACTTCTTGTGTAACATTTTGATTCCCAGCTTGCAACTCTTACATTTTTCACTTTCAATGACAGCTCTAATAGGCCCCTGGGAAACTCAATGATTTGCAAGGACTTTCATTAAAGGGGCAGGAAAGCTTGTAAAGGAGGAGGACTTAAAAAGAACTCTCCAAGAGCTAAAATGCAATTCAATATTTTCTCCTGAATGTTTACCTTGATCTAATTAATATCATGCACAATTTACACTTTTCTTTAACAGAAAACCAACCATATTCAAAATGGAAACAGATCAAGTCTTTCAAATACAATGATAATTTGAAATGACATGCTATCCAGCCAAATGGAATAACAATACAACTACTCCTTAGGACTTATTTATCAGGAGAGAGGGAGCTCACCAGAAATTTCAGGTCGTAGACAAAAAGCTTGTCAGGGAGAGACTTTATAAAAAGGGGAGCTTGTGACATTGTTTATGGTGGGTTATTTAGTGTTGTATAAGGCACAAAAAATTTGAATCCTAAAAAAAATGCCTTTTTCCTTAGCCTTGTAAGGGAGGGTCAACACTATCGTGGGTATTTCACAGTGGGGAGGGGTTAAGAATACTCTCCTGGTTTGAAATATCCAGAAATTGGCATCCCTGGAAACGCCCGAAAAACGGCGAAGAGAAAACCAACACAAGAAATATAAATTAAGTGTACATTTAAATTTTTCTAATCATAGCACATGAAACAGAAAGATTCTAAATCACAATGATCCCAATTGGTGATGCCACCGAAAAAGATATCCCTTCCAATCTGGTACTCACAGGTTATTTTTGGTTTTAGGTCCATGCCGGCTTTCTTAAATCCTAAGTGAGTCCATGCATGAGACAAACGTCAACGTCAATATGCAGATACGGAATTTAAAGGCAAGAGAGATGACAATCTGTATTTCTAAGGTTCCGGCAAGCCGCCATTTTGGAAGTTAAAAAGTTCTGTTCTTGTGTTGAAAGAGGTATCTGCTGACAAAGACGAGCCTGCAGTTTTCAAAACAATTCTGTGAGGTACATATCACACGTTTGACCAGGGTTTCCGTTGTAAGAAGCAAATGCATTCTGATCTGTATTATCTCTCAAAACTACACAAAGACAAAACACTGGTAAAAAATGTTTCCACTTCGCATCCTGAGAAGGCGCCGAGTTCTATATGTTGCCGTCTTGGTACTCTTTCTTCTTGGGTGTTTAGCAACCTTCAAAGTGATTTCATCTTCTGAGAAGAGTAGGGATGTCTCGCCAAAAGTATTGAATCCACGAGAACGTGAAGAAGATCTGAAGCTGAAAATATCTGACGATGCATTGCCTTCGGAGACCAATCAAATGAATCAAGAAGTTAACCATGATGAGGGCGATAAGGAAACAATGGAAATGATTCATATAAATCATGCGACAGAAGAAAAACTTAACACTCCAAACAAAGAACATTTACACCAGGAAGATTTGCTTCCTGAACCTAACTACAATATACACATATTTTATTATGCGTGGTATGGAAACCCAGAGCATGACGGAAAATACGTTCATTGGAATCACAGATTCCTTCCTCATTGGAATCCTGATATAGCTAAGCGTTATAGAAAAGGTTCTCATACCCCTCCTGATGACATTGGTTCCAATTTCTATCCTGCATTAGGCCCTTACAGTTCAAAAGACCCAGCTGTAATCACAGACCACATGAGACAAATGAGAACTGCTGGGGTAGGGGTGGTTGTTCTCTCATGGTACCCCCCTGGTAAAGCAGACAATGAAGGGATCCCTAGTGATAGTCTAGTACCTACACTCTTAGATGCAGCAGATAAGTACAAGCTTAAAGTGACTTTACACATAGAGCCTTACAAAGATAGGAATGATAAAACCCTTCACGATGATGTCAAATACATCATTGACACTTATGGTAAACATAAAGCTTTCTATAAATACACAGTACAAGATGGGAGAGATTTACCCATGTTGTATATCTATGACTCTTATCATACCCCAGCAGAATCATGGGCACAGTTGCTGACACCTGAAGGATTGCACTCAGTACGTAACACAAAATATGACTGTATATTTATTGCTCTGATGGTTGAAATGAACCACAGAAAGTACATAGACATTGGTGGGTTTGATGGTATTTATACATACTTTGCAACTGACAAATTTACATATGGATCAACTTGGAGATCCTGGCCTCAACTCAAATCTGTTTCTGAGCAAACTAAAAGCTTATTTATTCCAAGTGTAGGACCAGGGTACATAGATACTGGAGTGCGGCCTTGGAATAGTGAAAACACTCGACCAAGGAACAATGGAAATTACTACAAAAACAGCTGGAAAGCGGCCTTGCAGACTAAACCTCAAATTGTCTCAATCACCTCATTTAATGAGTGGCATGAAGGAACACAAATTGAGGAAGCTATTCCAAGATCCCAAGATGGACTGGTATACAAAGATTATAAACCCAATCCACCTGACTTTTACCTTGAATTGACCAAAGAGTATGTAAAAAAGTTTGCTGCAATGCAAAATTAAACCATTTGTTGTAACCCTGTGTTTTCAAATTCATAGTAATCATTTTTCAGTTCAGCTTTATCTGAGCAGTCAGTTTTTGTAGGGGTGAGTGGAAAAGCTGAAGGAAACTGGTGGGGAGACAAGAGACTAGGAGACCAATGAAAAGGGAACAGAGGAACATTAATAAAAAACATTTCCATGTCCTCTCAGTATTTCCTTTTTTGACATCAGCCAATCTTTGCTCTTGCCCTTGTATGCTTCCCTTTACGGACTGGAAGCTTGACATAGGCTATGTTTAGTTTACCAACTTTAAAAGAGATGGTGTGGCCTAGTGGTTAGCATGTGGACTTCACACCAAAGGCGTCATTCTGTCATAAAAGACACCTTAAACAGGGTCTCTTGCTTCCAGAGGCCTGAAGGACTAAATAGCCTGTGTGATCCTTGCATGAGGTAAATTGAAAGTGAACAGTCAACCAAATTGGGTTAAAATTCACAATGGCCCCCATCCATTTAATTTGGACAAATTCTTAGAAAACCAAGTCTAGTGCACAAAGTGGAGAGCTTTGGGAGAATTTCCCAGTAACAAACTGGTCTAAATTAACTTAGGGATACTTAACTTCAGATAGAAATGTTACTCTTAGAGCAGTGGTCTCCATTTTTTAACTGGCCTGAACAAGAGGAAAATTAGTAATACTGTGACAACGTAACAGTGTGACGGCAAGTCCAAATAATTATCATAAATTTTTGATGAGGTTGTGGATGAGCAATCCAGACTTTAAAACATAGAAGATCAAACAGACACTACACCCCAGACCAACCCCTACCAAGGAAAAGTCAGACATAACAGGCAAAGCTTCAGCTTGTGTTGTCTTTAGAAGCTGGTGGGAAGTAAAAACCCACCAGCTATCAGACCATTTTGTACCATCTACTTGGTGAAATGGGATCAATGAACTGATAACCACTATGAAATGCTCTTGAAAGAGAGAAAACTACATTTAGTGTACTTAGCATTTACTTGTTACGTGGGTGAACTATTTCATACTGAACTGAATGTAAAACCTGGGCACACCATACTCATAAATTGCACAATTTTTCTATTTTCACTTCAAAATCACAGATATAGTTTGGGTTATACTAAATTTGTATGAAGTTTCCCACAATAATTAGGACAAATTTAAATCCATGTAAAATTTTAAGCTCCTATAAGGAAGGTCAGTCAATATAAGTGGTGAATATCTTATGGGTTGGGTTTCATTTGTCAACTTTTAAGGACATATGGCTATGAGCTTGACCTTTTGCTTTGTCTGCTTCCTGTATCTTAACATGCTCAACAAGTCCTCTTATTTGAATCATTCTAACCTTAGTTTTGAGCAGTTTATTATCTATACAATAAAAAATCATGAACATTTTTCCAGTTTATGTTAGACTCCAACCCCCTTTTCTCCATGTCTTTTCATTCCCAGATTTTAACTAAACATATCCAGAAGGAGTGGCAATTTTAATCAAAACCATGTTTGACAACAGGCTTACAACTTCTGCCTGCTGTTTTTAACTGTTGTATTTTGCTTGCTGTCAAATTTTAGAGGATAATTTGCAAGAAGTAGATTTTCTAGTGCAACAATACCAATTTAACATCTTTTACATACACACATTACTTTCATTATCATACACAAGCAAAATCAACCCTTTTACTGAGAAGTGTAGTTCTTCCTTACATTTATCTAAGTCAATTTTATCTATATGATTAACAAGAAAAACAGAGTGAATAATTTTAAATAGGGAAAATTGTTATCTTGAAGGTTCAAGGTGATATGCAGTACAAACAATGAAGTATATCTGAAACAACTTTGAAGCTAAAGTTTGTGCATGAAACAATATATAGGCAAACAAAAAGATTTCAAGTCCTATTGACAACATGTAGGAATACCAGCCTTGCATCTTAACTTATAGAGGATCAGTAATTGAGTGCCTATAATATTAAGCTTAACATTTCTTTACAAAAAAATATTCAACAGTTGTATAGGTGTTTTCTAATAAGAATAACAAGTGCTTATCTCTCACAATCCTAATCATTTAAAGGAACACTGTTCTTCTACTGGAAGCAAGACATAATGTTCCAATAATGGTTCAGAACCATTTGATGTATCATTTTCTTAAAAACATGCTAAAATTAGTGAAACCACTTGCAAAAGATAGCACATTTATAAAATATGATAATATGTATTTAGTATTTTCTGCTTGAGGTAATGCTATGAAAGCAAAGTAATATGGTATTCTTTTCTCTGGGTTGGTGTTTGTTGAGTTACCATTAAATCTGTGGAGTAGAAAAAAATGATAACTTCTTATTCACTGAGAACAAGGGCCATACTTGGGAATATTGGCCTGAGGACAAGGTAGCACAGCGAGGTCTGCACAAAAACAACCAAGGGCCAATATTCCCAAGGACAGCTCAAACAAGTGAGATTAATAAGTGGCTTATTAAATAATACTTAGACCAAACATATTTTTATTTTGAATTCACTGGCTTGCGCAAACAAAAATTCACAGCTTATGACCATTTACGTGAAAACAGTCCTATGGCAAAATCCTGACCTACATATAGTAAGAACTAATCAGGATGTTCACATATACCTAGGGACTACCTTGCCAAGTAATAATACCGTAGTTTGTAAGAGTTCCAGCACAGAGCTCTTATTTACCTCACAACTAGAGTACTGACTGTTCAGACTTGTCATGAATTGCATGTATTGACAAACAAGGTTAGAGTTATCACATGTAAAATGCCTTGAAAAGGTTCTGAAGGAAAACCACACCTGGTCTGAGTTAGTGGGAGGTTTGAATTAAAGTGTTTGAGTATCAGTGTTGAGAGGAAAGGACCAGAAAATATAGGAAACAAATCTCTGTTAGGTTTCTATTCATAAAGTATACATTCCCACCATTTCTGAGACAAGCATGTTAAGAGTTATTATGGGTAACATTACAAACACATAGCAAATGTTCTGAAGGAAAGAGAGCAGCCTTGATTCATCTTCAAGTTTGATTTACATCATAAGTTTGAACTATCAAGAGTCCTCTTAAGCTCAACTTTAGGCACTTATCCAGGTTAAACTGATTCTCACTAAGCTAGCACAAAGTTTGAATCTCCAAGACTTATGTTGTCTGGAATCCCCTATATATAGAATTCTCAAGAGATGTTTTAGTGACCAGCTTTAAAGAAAACACTAGCCAGCAAAAATTGGAGTCTATTTTAAGACGAGACTGATTCTCACTGAGGTTGCTCAAAGTTTGAATCACCAAGACTTTTGGTTATCTGGAGTCCCCTACACACAGTATTCTCAAGAGATGTTTTGGTGGTCAGCGTTAAAGAAAACACTAGCCAGCAAAAAATAGAATTTATTTTAATTAGAGACAGAAATTTCACTGCTTTGCTAATTAAGGTAGCTGAACCTTCAGAAACAAGTAGCCAACATAGGCACACAAAACTGCTGCTTCAAGAAAATACTGTTGTATTATAATTAGCAAATATAATCATCTCAACAAAAACTTACTGCATCAATATCAGCATCATCTTCTCCATCATCCTCAAAATCATCAAATTGGATTTCATCTTCTTCCCCTTCTCCTCCTTGTCCGATATTTTCATTGATCTTAACTGCAAAGTGTTGAAAACAAAACAGAGGTTGCAACTTGAAGAAACAAGAGAACAATGAAAAGACAACCGGAAAAATAATTTCTTTTCATCACACTAGAACAGGTTCATTGACACTGACTGTTTGGGCCAATTCAGTCAGTCAATAAGATAAACTCTCTCATTAAGACAGTTTTAAAAGAAACTTAAAAGTACGGCACAAGAGATGGACTCTGAACATTCCTTTATACTCATTTGATACTAGTAGCATAGGAAAAGATTCTATGACTTGATACACCAATGCATCACCCACTCCAGATTAAACAATAACATCAAGATGAAGTTCCTATGCCATAGTCAGCTCAATGGTCACATAATATCACACAAAGTACCCGATTCATCTGTATCTTTTCAATCACAATAACAAGACAAAATTGAAGTATTTTGTTCCAAAATGGTTTGTTACTGTTCACATCCTCTCAGAGGGTCTAGATACTTGAAAAACAAAAATCAAATGCCTGCATTTTCTTTCACATAGAAATATTGAAATTGCTGAAGACCTGAATTTCATCACTGATGTTTGAGTGGAACACAGTTTCCCAAGATTTTTAATTTCTCCATTTCTGGAAAACAAATTGCCCAGCAAGAATCTTAGAGTTTTTATATTTTTATTCCACTATTTCTAAGAAATGACTTACTATTGTCTGGGAGCTCTCCATAGGCCTTCAAGTTCCGTGCTTCATCAGGATTGTAACGCAAAATGACATCTGCTTTGTTATCCTTTAAATTGAAACAAAGAGAATATGCTGCAATGTTTCTTAAAACCTATAAAACTCAAAATGAACAGCAGCTACAGAGATTTAGTAAGAATATTAAAAAATAATACAGCATCTATGTGTCAGGACACAAAAACATTAGCCAAAGGGTGCTAATTTTGAAGCAACACCAAATTTCAAGACTACTTTGTTACTAAATATTTTTTAGTGCCCCCCCAAAAAAAGTCAGGTTTTAACAATGCCTCGACCAGTCATCATCATTCTTGTCCAATTCTCATACCAACAGGGTTTCAGTTGGAAACTTGCCACACACATATTCAGAGAGGTATAAACAACATTTGTTACATTGATTCAAGAATATAAAATTTTGATATGATCCATGATTCTTTCTAAGACTCTTTTCTGTGTCTGTGAATTAACACCTTTTTTTTCTCTTTGCTATTTTGTACTATCTGTTTGAGAAGAGAACTACTCTTGATATTTTCAAATCTTTCCAAACCCAAAAATTCTTTTTCATGGATTGCTGACCTGGAAATTGATACAATTGTTCAGTTCCATTGCTTTTCACATTTTCCATGACCTGGGCAAACCTTGAAATCTAAAGATCTCTTTAAAATATTATAATGCTCAATAAATCTCTCTAAAAACAGTCAACTATACCTGGTAATCACGCAGTCCAAGGAGTATAATATCACCAGTATTGATCCAGACCTGCAAAATACAGAGGCTCTGATGCTTGTAAAGTTACTTAATTTAACTACATCTTTTGCCTTTTTCTCTTTCCTATAATTGATAATTACTGAGCTACCCATAGTTGAAGCACATAGGTAGGAGTGCTTACAGGGCCATAAATTACAGATATTGCAATAGATTTTATGGAGTTTAAATACCGAAAAAAATGTCCAAAAAAATCAAATAATCCATTCAAATAAAAAGATTCTCGACCTTTTTGCGAAGTTTTCCGCGAATATGACAAAGTCGCTTAGCCCCATCGAAACAAAGTGCCTCCAACCTTCCATTTCCTAACATCTTCAAGACTTGAGCATACTCTTTTTAAAAGTCAAAAGAAAATAAAATCAGAATAGAAACGAATCAAAAGTCAAGAAAATAGGAAAATAAAAGCCTAGAAACCTTGACCATCTTCTTTAAAGACAAGTTCACGTTTCTCTGACTCGTTCTCGTTCTTTCCCCTTCGTCGATTTTTACCACCCTTTCCTGTGTAAAAATGAGACAAACAGAGTTTAAAATACGAAGATCGTGGAATATATGACACATCCTTTTTCTCACCTTTGTTCTTCGGCATTCTAAACTTAATTTAAAGTCTTTTTCTTGAAATATCCTTCACCCACGTTCTCGACAGAGAAAATAATGGCGTCAATTGAGCATGCTGTAGCTCGACACAGCGGTAACCAATGACGAAAAGATAGTTCTTCGTTGTGCAATCGTTTCCGCTCCCGTCAAGTCGATCAAGCAATCGACAACGTTCGTCTCATAATCGGGACTGTACCTCCTTGCACTTGTCTTTCTTGGGGTCCTCTTTCAGCCCTGTTGGATACATGATTAAAGGGACGAGCATCGATATGACGCAAGCCTCCTACAGAAAAAGAAAGCTGCGCAGCAAGTGGGAGAATATCAAGGACAGTCACAAGGACCAAAATTGAAATAAAAGGATGTACATACAAGAATCATCCTTGAAAAGTTAGGAAGGAAGATGTGGTTAGATCGAAACCTCGGCCTATTCCCGATTGTGCTCGGCAACTTTTGACTCCACCGATGTTAGCATTTGTTGTGAAGAACGAAAAATGAAAGTTTTTAATAAACTTTAGTCTAAAAATACAAAGAAATTCAGGTAACAACGCAGTTTGAGATTCAGGTGACAACTTTTTGGATTTTTGCCAATTTTTTATCAGTCCAATGAACAACTTTCTAGCATTTTACAAACACAATCGGGACAGGTCTATCGAAACCTATAAAAGCAATGCATTGTAAATAACAATCCCGGAAATGGGAAGCCGCGGTTCTGCCCATTCTAAATAGACACATGATTGTTTGATCGTTTGTTCCTATTTATAATCATCATGATAAAACGAGAGAGGCAAACGTTGTTCGTTCCTGGCAATCGGTTCGCGATTTCGCATTGTCAGATGTTGCCACGTGATCAAAGGGAGCAGCAGCCCACAGCATCTGACTCCCTTCCTTGTTTTCACCTCAAACAAACATTTAAAGGGGGTGGAGAGACCCCCCCCCCCCCCCCCCCCCCCCCCCCCCAACACAGACGTAGATAGCGTGGCGTAGTATCCATTCTCGAGATTTTTTTCACAACTTATATAATAAGAATCGTGCTTGGCGCTTTGGCGAAATAACATGCGGTGGACTATTCTTATTTTCTTTTATGTATTTTTGTTTTGAAAACTGCTTACTTGTAAACATTGTCACCAATTTCTTGCGGACTCACAATTGCATAGCCGTTTTCTAATGCCAAAGAACTACGAAAAAATCACTTTGACAACGTGTACGCGCTTGACTTTGAAGGTGATATCCTTCGCGGTTGCCATGTTACGTGACATCGACCCCAAAGAACGGCTGCGTAGACAAAAGTGGTTGGCTTGTGACACATCATCTTTATTACGACACTACCCGTCTACTGTCACCCGTTGGAATCGTTTACAAAGCTTGAATTAAAGAGCGATGGAGGAAAATCATTTTGAAAAGAACAAAGATAGACCACCATTGGTGCGATCGATTTCGATTGTTCTTTTACAAAAATTCGTACATTTTACGCTCACCGTTTCCTCAGGCCATCAGGCACGCACAGAGTCTTATGCTACTTATTTATTCACATGCTCCACAACATGCAAATTTTGTCAATTTGGGAAGAGACCAAAGTAGATACATATTGGGAATGATTCAATAACTTAATAATTTCGGTACACGCATATGCTTCGTTAAGTAATCGCTACAGACTCTTCGATTGAAAACCAACAATCTAATCCTAAAAGAATAAAACTATCGAGAAAAAATTTATTCCTTTGCTGCATGATGAAACAACACTTTGAAAACTGAAACTAATCAGTGAGTATAAGCAACGCGCTCCCATTTGTGTTCCAGTACTAATACTGGCCTATGGCAATCTATTTCGGTTCATTGTTTTCGTTTCATAAGTTTTTCACAGCTATTAAAGACATCAGGATTTTCCTCTGGTGGTCTGTTCGTTGGATATTCAAACCACTTTTCTCCGTAGACAGATACTAAATACTTTCTCCAGTTATTCTGTACGTTGAGTGGGAATCCTTCGAACGTCATCCGCCTCAAAGGATATATCGCGTTGTCCACATTTGGTGTTACAAAAATATCGACCATAAGTCCATCGTGCCACTTACAATTGTAGGTCATACAGTATTTATAACAACTGTTTCTGTCTCTGAGTCGTGGATTAAATGTCGCTTGATAGATAAAAACTACTTCATGCCTATGATAACCGCTTACATCGGACGGTCTCAGCGCATGGTCGCTGACCGAGTTCTGAAAAAACATATCGGCCGGTAACTCCTTAGCCGCAACTTGAAAAAATTTGACGTAATCACCCAAGGGCATTTCAATATCGCCATCTCCATCCCAGGGGATGAATCCATGATGTCTAGCAGCTCCGAGTAGAGTCCCGCGGCTGATCCAGTACTTGATTCCATGTTTTTGTGCGAGGATATCGAAGATGCGGAGCATTCGTGTCAGGACGAGTTGAGCTTGACGCGGGCGAAATTTTGAATAGTTACGAATATCTGGGCATTGAAAAGTGTCGTCAACCAAATCACATTTTCCTCCAAGTTCAGTGTACAACTTTGGGCACATTTCACCCCATTTAAACTTGATTTTGCAGTGTTCATATGTGAGGTTTGGATTCAAATAATCGGCACGTCTCCGACTTGTTCTGGCGAGAGTAAGATTATTTGTATACCACGAGTCGAGAGCACCACGCAAGAGTGATCCTGAATTGTCTAATTGTATAACAGTGCTCAAAAGACATATTATCCCGGTAATTAACAGAGTAAAAAGCAAAAATATTGCAACTTTGCTCATCTTTGTCTAATCACACCAGCAAAGAATGACCCCAATGCCCCCTTTTAAGCTCTTTCTGTGCTCTCCTTTCACTAGTGGAAGGAGTTGCGTGACATTTCGCAAACAATCACTAGTCGAAGGAGTTGCGTGACATTTCGCAAGCAAGTGATGCAATATTTAAATTTATTTTTCTGAAAGAAAAGAAAAAAATCATGATAAATAGGCTGATGAATGACGAGTCAAAACGTGGTGAAATTTGAGGTTTCTTTGGAGATAGATTTGAATTTAAAAAAAGGGCGATTTAAAAATTGCCGGAGTTACAGTAAGTATAGCCCGTCAGGCGTGAAACCCAGGCCTCGTCTACATTTCGATCGGTGCTACCGCCATGAAGAGGCCAAGAACACGTTGAGCAAAGCACCAATTGTTTTGAGGTGCAACATCTTTTTTCGATATATATAGGAATACACAGAAGACGGATAGACGAAAAGGTATTTTCGAACAGCTAGCTTGAATCACAAGCTAATCATCCTATTTAGGTCCATTTAACAGACTACTTATTACCTTTACTTGCTCTGAGACTTTCGTTACATTTGTACTTGTTTTTACGTGATAGTTCTGATATGGCAGCAGATCCATCTAGCTCTACTGAGGCTTCTAAATAATTCTGCGTACAGAGATGATGTTTATCAGGTCTAAACTTGGGCTCAATAAAAATAAAAATTTGCACCGCCTATCTTTCCTGAAAACATAAAAAGACTTCTGACTCAAGGTTAGTTTAAAAACGTTCTGATGGGGACTGTCTTTTTGACAAATCTTGCTGTGGATGTAGGAAAGTACAAACAATATGACGTTTCGTCCGCCATATTGGATTTCGAGACCCACAACCATTTACCTTTAAAAAAGCTCCGGCGACTTAAAACCTTAAAGAAAACACTGATTATTATGAGCAATAACAGGAAGCAGGTTTTAAAAATGTCATCTTGATAGAAAAAAGAAGTGAGACGGTGTGGGGAGTCTGCGTCTTTGTGTTCTTGGGTCTTTGTTTTCATGTTTAGAGGTCTTTGTTTTCGTGTTCAGGGGTCTTTGTTTTCATGTTTAGAGGTCTTTTTTTTCGTGGTTAGAGGTCTTTGTTTTCGTGTTTTGAACTCCTCATTTTTCTTTTTTAGGGGTCTTTGGTTTTCCATCTTCATTTTTTGCGTCTCCTCTGTCTTTCACAACGTATCCTGTGTTGTGGTGCTGGTATTTTGAGCTTCCTTGTTCCATCACCTCCCTAGCATATGATAACCACAATAATTTTTTCCTGCTAAGAAGGACATTTGCAAGTTACAGCTAAGTATTGTTTTCCAAATTGCATTAAAATTAAATACATTTTCAACCTCTATGTAAACATTCCTGATATAATTTTATAGAGAATCCGCTTTGAAAAGGAAGATGACAAAAGAAAAGAAAATTGAAGCAGATATTGTTTAGAAATATTGTAATCCACTGTATTTTGATCGGTGAATCGACAAAAAGGCATAGGATGTTCCCACTAAATATAATTTTTTTAAGATGTACAATGGGACTTCGTGAAAACAGCAGTTTGAAAAGACATGTTGTCATTTCACGATATTTTTCGTAAGAAGTTTGCCTTTGGATACCTTAGTTGGTGTCTAGAGATATTAAACGTGGTCAGTAAAGGACCTTGCTTGACGTGATTGGTTAATATATTTGATTTATCCTCATTAGTATTTAGAGAGCACAATAAAGATCAATAGTTCAATCCAGGCTCAGCACGACCAAAATCAAAGGTAATCCGAGACTGCATTGGCTTTTCTTTACTTCGCTCTTTGATTGGTCTAAAACAGCCGAGCCACCCTCTATGCAAAAATGAACGGTAATGCAGGCCTGGTTACTCGCGTTTTCCCACACTCTGAGCTGTTAGCTTGTTTTTTTTTCCTTTGAGCCCTTATTGTCTCCCTTACACGTGTTTCTTTACTCTTTCTGACTGTTATGATGAATTTAATTTTTCTGGGTTACGCGACACTCAATCGAAATGCACTTCAACACAATTTATGGCATAATTATGGATTAGTGAGGGTGTTTTTTCGCTAGCAAATTTTTCCGTGGATGCTCGTCATTTACTAGTTCAATGACAAACAAGACGATTCGTGTAACACTTAAGACACTTAAGGGCTAACGATTAAGGATTAAGCTTGATCTCGTGCTGTTAATCAGAAAATAATCTGCAACAGGAGATGATGGGCTCCTGTCTGCAACCGGAGTAAACAAATCCTTGTGGTCACATCATTCAGCATGAGGTGAACGGCCTACTCCGCTTGGTTATTAATTTCAAGCTGAGAGAGCGTTCTCTTGCAGCATTTGGATCTCTGACAGCCAACATGCCTGTATGATTGGCGTGGATCGCAGCTCTGAAGAAATTTAGGACCATAAGGATGTGGCTAGGGGAAAATGGGGATCCCTATAGGGGAATCGCAATGTGACCCTCGCTTTCTATATATGAAAAGGCAGTGTGGCGCCGGTGTATGACCTTCCACCCTCCCCCGTTTCCACTTTCCCTCCTACGTTCCCCTACACCGGTAAATCTCACTCTTTCATCGCATGGTCAAGTGGAAAGAGAAATCAGTTGGTGAAATCGCATGGGTACGGAGACTAGAATACAAAAACCACGCCTATACCCTTGAATCATTTCGCTGTGTCAACAGCGTGCAGCACCCCACTGGTGTCATCCGTTCTACCGAGACAAAAGCGCTTATCAAAGGATTATCTCTTGAGATTATTCAGGGATGAGTAATGCCTGGAGCTAAGGGTAATTTTTTCGCGTAAGCTTACTTGCCTGCGGCATCCTGACCCTTAGTCTTAAGCCAATCGCGACGGTACATGCTAGAGTTTTAGAAGGCAATCTTTTTTTTCTGAAATATTATTGCTGCGCGCATATAGAGAGGCACGCAAAAAAGTTTTTGAAGAACAGGAGACACTTTTGTAAATCAACCATCAGACGTTTATCCTTTTCATCTACTTACGGCTTAGCTCGCAAAAAAGCCTCGCGGTAAAGATTTGATATCAATTCGCCAATTTGTGCACTTCAAATCACTTCAAATTCTCTAGTTGACTGTACTGCTTTTGACTAAAGCAGACAAATCTTTCATTTTGAATATCTGATTTTAAATTGGAGCGAAATAAATGAGGTTTCAACAATATTAACACCGTAACTTCCGAATCGGAAATTTAAGGTGGGTTTCAACTCTAAAAAGAAAGTGAAAAACAGCAAGAAATCAAGTGCGTTGGGCAAATGCTTTTTCAAAGTTAACTTGAGTATGTATCTTCCTATTTTAATAGCTTGCTCCAGGCGTCCAGACAGTTAACCCTTTCACTCTCAAGATCTTATTACTAGTACTCCTTACTGCCTGCCATACAATTCTTATGATGTTAGTTCCGAGAATTTGGTACTAGATCAATTAATAATCCCCAAGCTGATATTTTTCTTAATTCTCATCACGTGTCCGTATGATATTGTATTGATTTGGTAAGGAGATATTCTGTCTTGGTCACTCATGGGAGTTAAAGGGTTAACCGAGCGCAAAAGTAAACGGTGCGGCGGAGCGAAAATCGATAGAGGTTCGGGTAGCGCAACGAACGAACGAACGCAACGTGTACCTAGCCTCCCTCGTATTTTTAGGACAATAAAACTATCGATAGCAAGGCGCCCTGAAAAAATTGCGACGAACAGTGATCTGAAGGTCGCCGAATTCATTTGAATACGACTCTCAGAGGCTGATGCGGTTTCTACCAGGCGTACATGTCCTTAGCTGCTGAGGAAGCTGAAAAAACACAAAAAAGCGTAACCCCACAAGTGTCCTTGGTCGCTAGGGAAATCAGTGAATATAGAGTTTGTATGGAGGTTCAAACGGGTTTGCTTTCGAATCGAACCTGAGTGTCTATTGACTAAGAAAGTATCCACTGCTTAGAGTGGAATTCCTTACTACCGCGTGCAGCGTTAACGAAAGTACTTTTCGCCACATTTTCAAATGCAGCATAAAGTTCAGGAAGCGATAGATAATTTGTCTGTCAATTTATCCCCAACTGGCGCGTCTGCGCACCCAATCGAGACGCTCCATGCATTGCGCAAATTTAACCAACCTCTACCAAGAGTATTTGATGTATCCGTTAGTCAGTGCTTATAGGGCTGACACTAATTGACCTCGATGACAAAACTCTACTCATGATGATCTTCACCGAGTCAGTGTTCAAACACTCATTCGTCATCATTGATCATATGACAACAGAATGAAGAACTAACTGACATTTTCTTTCAGTACGCAGCAGGTTAACTTGAATTAAAAAGTGCCTACATTATCACTTTCTGTTTTTAGACGGTCTTTGGCACGCATTTTTGATCAACCCGGCTACAGTTGGTTGGTTTTACAAAAACCCTAGCTTAGGGTTGTTTCTGCACTAATTATGCACTATTCAAAGCCTTCAGTAAGATCACAACCTTTTTCCATCTCAACTTTTATCCACTGCGTGGTTAGTTTTTGACGCTTTCTTTGTTTCGTCAGGTTCGATCCTTTGTGTTGTAAGCCGGGATTGAGATCAGGCACCGTTGCTTTTTCGTGGAGAGATAAACATAGCTTAAACAATACAGAAGTGTTGGAGATGTACATCGCTGTGACAATGCGTCAAACCCTAACAGTACTTACCGAAAAGGCACTTAGCAACCCACTTACTCGCTCTAGTCGCCACATGTCAATAATCAAGTAATCACTGGAGAGTTTTATTACTCTCTTCAAGATGATGTTTCAAATCTAGTTTGCACCCTCTATATTCAGTGTATTTCCATCCGATTTGTAACCTTATTAAAACTATGGTAATAATGTTTTATTTTTGCCCTTTGTTTTATTTAAACTAAGTGTTGGAGACCTGTGTTTAAACTAACCTGAAACGCTGAAAAGAGAATTCGTGTTCTATAAATCGATTCAGGCATTGATGTGAGCGCAACTGGGAAAGCAAAATTAAAAAAAGAAACTAGTTTACAGTAAACACTTGTTCTGAGCATAATTTGCATAGAACAATATTATGCTTAGGCAAGTGTATTGTGTTGGGCAGCTAATCCACCGTAGCTCTTGGTAGGGAGGTCTTGTTTTGTGTAAACAGCGTCCACTAAACAATAACGTCTTTGACATTGAAGAGTGCAGTGACTTGTAAAACAGTCTATAGACTATGCAGGATCTCTGTAGGCGCCCACCTGTCCGAGTAAATAGTTCTTAGTTATATTTGACTCTTGATATTTCCTATAGCGGGGCATCAACTGGGGGTAAACTTCCCAATTTATTACATGGCGTGAAAATCACGACCTCACGTAGAGGGCTGTGAAATAAAAATTGACTATCAGTACTAGGGAGTTCGGATTATTAATAAGAGCTCGATCAGCCTGAACAAATAAAACTAAAACGACCTCTTCTGTGAAGCATTTGGCTCTTTTTCAAACCTTGCAAGAGGCACGTCACTTAAAGATAATATCTGTCACTTTAATCCATTTTCATATGTGATCTGTATTCTGTCAGTCTCGCAGCTCTTTATTTTTCGTCGCCACCAATGTCACAGGGTCATGATTAAGTTCTTAAGTTAATCATGTCTTTTACACAAAGGCCGAACCCCTCTGTTTAGCTGATAATTTCCAGCAGTGGTTTCAATAATAAACTGAAAACTCGAGCGACGCGATGACGAGACGAGATATAGATTTTGAATAGCACTGTTTGTTTTCCGATGACCAAAGAAGAGAAACATGTATAACACATTGGCTTTTCAAATCAATAAAAGACTGTTCCCTGAAGGCCAAGGTAATTAATCATTTGTGAAAGATATTTTTAATGGTCATTTGGTTGATCATCGTCGACAGTTCATTTGCTTCAATAAACAGTTGATACAACTCTCGAATTTGCCCCCTTGATTTAAGAAATATCAATTTCAGAGGTAACTTAGCCAATCAAAAGGGAACTGATTCAAATTTAGAAAATTTGATCGCAATGCTATCGTGAACGATTACCAAGTCCATTCCGTTGAACTTTAAAAGGCTATCGAAAAGGAAGATAAGAGTTATGGTCAACTGAAACCACTGTTCGTGTAAATGACAATTCACCGCAAACTTCCGTTTGGCCTTCACAACAAAGGGCGAAAAGTTGGCAAACAGCCGGAAAAGTCGTCTTAATTGCCCTATTTCTGAACTGAACGCTGTCAAACGACCCCATGACAAGCTCAACCGCAATCAAATGAAAAGAGGGCTAAAGTCCCACGAATTAGCATTCACGAAAAACAACCTCCTACTCTAAACAAAGCCCATTGTTTAATCCAAGACTATTTTCAGCGATGAAGTCAGTTCGCGTAGTGTTTATATTTCGTTAACCTTGTCCTTAGCGTTTTCAGTCTACTAAGCTTGAACCAACAGAAGAAGGAAATCGACCATGAAGGTACGTGATTAATAGAAGCTATAACTGCGCTATCGACCTTTTCAGCTGCAGGCTTTTAAACATCCCGGAACTAACCACCACGCTAACAGCTTCTAATGAAGAAAATGATTTCAAGGAGTCTAGCACGCGTGTTTTCACATTCTCTGCCAAGAGTTAACAACATGTTGATGACGTAAGTTAGCGAGATAACATGAATCACTACTTTCAAAGTAAACTAACGAGCCCTCAATTTCCTTCGGAAAAGATTCTGTTATCATGCAAAGGAAAAGCGATTAAATCAACCCAAGATCCAATTCCAGAAATAAGTTCAGAAGGGCTGTAATATTAACCCAGTACAAACTACACAAAAGGGAATTTTTAGACGTGTTTACGTCCTCATAAAAGTCATTTCATATTCAACTAAGACATTAAAAACAGCGAGGGAGACAAAAACATACACCATACTTTTTAATACTTGACTGAAATAATAAATTGTATTTTGTTTAAAATTAGCTCAATTGCAACTTTATCTTCTGTAGCCTGTTACTACAAAGCGTCATTAATCACTATTTCCTCGGCCGCGGTTATAATTAACGATCATTTTTAAAAGTCTATATTGAATTGTTTTCCAAGTACGCCGGGCTGTTGTTTTCTTTTTGGTCTCTTTCGAACACTTAAGCATGGTTCAGAATTGATTTGCTCAATCAGTTCAACATTTCAATCACTTAATCCAGAAGAATTCCATACTTCATTTGAAACAGATGTAATCGGTGTCTTTACCTGCCGACACTTGTAAATGTACCTCAGACCAAATTTTGCCGCCACCTGCTCGCGTACCTCCAGTAATCCGATCGCTTCGAAACATGTAAAAGATACATTTAAAAAACTCTTTAAATAATTTGAGATAGCTTTTTGTTTTTTTGAATTATGCTGAAGTAAGTAAAATTCCTTTTTTTCCGCTTTGAATACAGAAATGATTGCTATCCAGCATATAGAGAGAATCAATATTGACTCGCAAGCAACAAAAATTATTACGCCAATATTCCACAGTCTACACTAAGGCGTGTAATCATGTGGTTTTAACATGACTCGAGACAGAATAAATTATTTTGTAAAGGAAAAACACAAAAGCAAATATCGCAATCTAATTTCGGCGATCACGCCAAAAGTGCGGTCATGACAACTTTCACGTAAATTGTTTTTCAAGTTGTTGATTAGGGTGCAGTTTCCTTGAAAAACATTTACCGTGCAAGAAAGCGTGCGATAAGTAATGTCTCACTTAAAACGACAGTAAAGATTAAAGTTATTATGTGTTCATAGAGTTAAGTCTCAAGAATGCGGTTCTTGCTCTGACTTATTCTGGTACGTTGCTCGATGAAAAGGAGGAGAAATGGTTTGAGTTTTAGTAGGCGAAAAAAAAATTCTCTCTCCCTACGTTTTCTGTCGTGGGAGCCAAAATATATCGTATCTTTTCGCCATGCTTGCGACGTACAATGCTGAAAAAGAACGGGGCTGCCTGAAATCAAAAGTTTGCAGGTAGGGAGGGTCCATAGGCTTTTCAGATCTTTTGATGGTTCGCAGGGAAACATAACCCAATGTCAAGGCAGAATTTCGGCGATAACTCTTTCAAAAAGCCATGAAACGTCAAAACACTATCACTGTGACACTGAGTTCGTAAAGAAAGCGCGGAACCTTTAAAACAGTGTTTGCCTGTGTTAGTTGAGTGATCAGAAGACCTCGTAGCCGTTTCTTTCAACCGCATAGTAAGGAGGTGTTCCACTAGAGATTTGGATCACTCAAAGGTCCTTGGATTTGTCAGTTTTGTGATGGACATCGTTTTATCACACAACGATGCTTAACAGGTACTGGATAATTTTTTAATTCCTTTTACCGACAGGACAAATTGCCATGGTCTGCAGCCTGCACGTTATAACTTTCATAAAACAATTTCACTTCGTTTCAGTCTTCAAAACTGTTTGTTGTAAACCAGTGATTTTTCTTGAACCTGTTAACTTTCTATGCAACAACTTTTAGATTAGGACGTTATTTCAAGCCCTGACAAAATCTGGCGAAAAGATCCGTAAGATATCGTGCGGCCGAAAACCATATAACAGCAGGGAGCGATATTAAGGGGGTGTTGTCCGCCACCGACTGTCTGCGTTGCCGACTTAAGAATTCAACGTATTTCTCCTTAAAAAGAAAAAGAGTAGTTTTAGCTGGTTATGTCAAATAGATATCAAATAGATAACAGATTAAATTGAACGATGTTTAGTGTTGCATAAGAAGTTGGGTTGTTGCCTTCAAAGTTACTGAGAAGTTTCAATGAAGAGTCGGGAATATTTCAACACGAGCTGAATTCGTTCTTCGCGTGCCCGTCGATAAGTACACGTGCATCTTCAAGTGATCCTGCTCAGACCTCGTCGTTTTAGCAGCAAAGCGAGCTGTCAAAAATACTTGAATATCGTGAAGTTAGTCACAAAGATCATCTGTGATTAGTCTGTATTTGCCCTTTCATTCCTGTTTCAATTGTTAAAGCCAATTTGTAACCTCAATCGGGTCAATACTGAACTAATTTTCTACCCTATGAGATACGGCGCCGTATTGACTCCATATCATGGACAAATCGACGCTATTATCCGGACGGGAGAATGTGGAAGGGTAAGCGAACAGTTTGATACAACAGATAAGGTCATTCACTGTCTATAGACTTCCCTGTTGATTTGCTTTATTCTGTTCACTATCCTCCTTCGTTAAGCGCGATAACATCTCGGAAACTCGTGTAACATGTAGAAAGCTTCCCATTAGGAGATAACGTGTGTCGGATCCGGTGTCGAGCTGCTATTGTTCAAATTTTTTTTCTCAGCATGTACCAGGTCAGCAAGTTGACGCCTGGTATCGTTTGAACGTAAGAGAACGTGATAAGACATCCTATTGGTGTTCCAACCACATCATGTTCTAACCAATATTTGCGTCTTGTGGTCTTTTTGGGATGGAGAGACACGCGTTTGATTTCATTAATACAACAAACCGTCTTTTAAATGAGAATAATACATTCAATTGGTGAAAGTTTTACCAATGCCCTTTCCATAACATGATCAAACTGCTTGAGGAGTTTTATTGGACGAAAAAATTTTCTGTCTACAACCGACTGTACAAGCTGGAGTTCGCGAATAAGCAACTTATTTTCGTAGAAAACAATTCCTTGATCGGTGCAACAACATTCAATTGAGATGCAATACTCAACCCCTTCACTACAAAAAGAGATCAGTATGTAAGTTTGCCTTTCAATATCAATGGAGACATCGGCGTCAAGCAGCTGACCCAAGATTAGACAGGGAGCCAAAAATTCTCATTTCGAACATAAGAAAAATTATATTGAAGTCATAATGGAGAATTCAAAGTTTGATCTTTGGATTGAAAGGATCAGTTGTACTTAAGACACTTGCCTTCAGTCTCATGATCAAAATTTTTCAGTCACAAATTTATGGAATGTGCAACCGTAGACAGTTTTATTGTTTCTTTGTGATGAGATGTAAAATAAATGCTATGACTTTCATTAGTTTCAAGCTCCTCAGGCAATGGATTGAAATCATTTAAGCAAATTAAGCTTTACGTCTGGCTGCGTAATGAAGAGGCAAGGCCATTAGCCTAATAATATAAAACTGGGATTTGGTCAGCCTTGGACACACACGATCGAGTAACCATCAGCTAGAGTGAACTTTTGCGAAGGGAATATCCGGCTTAAGCACGTGTTTAATTTCAACTCCTTTTGTATGTTTTAGCGCAACCTCAAGGAAGATCAGTAACGTTTCGGCAGGAGTAGTCCGCATGCATGTGCTGAAAGTTAATACTGATTGAAAAGGAAATAATGACGAAGGAGATTTCGATAAAAAACCCACAACTTGTAGAGCGGAAAACAACGGTGCAATTAAACTTGCATTTCTAATTTGGATCTAATTTTGGTGTCTCCAGGTTATTTTTTCTTTTGATTGGATTATATATTAGAAACTAACTGCAATGAGTCAATATCTCTTTTACATTACAACTGACTGAAGTTTCTTGCCGTTCTTGACTGCGATACCGACAGCCACCTTTGCTCAGACTCAAAAATGTCTTTAATGGTTTGGTTTAATTTCGGATGAAATGACTCAATATCGCCCCAAGGCTTATCAAATTATACAGTTCTCTTAGCTCATTGGCAAACCCCGCCTTCGCGCTATTAGTGCAGTGAGTAAGTCCATTAGCAATGGAAGTAGAATGAGAGGCATTGGGTGTCACCACCAACGCATGATGTTTAGAGAGGCAAGAAGAACTTTTTCCTTTCTAGAACTTTTCTAACGAGATTTAAGTTCAAAAGATGAGAACAGTTTACTGTAAAGAAGACTGTAGCGGATCAAGTAAGTACACATTGACAAAATAACAAAACAGTGCAATATTGAAACGGTAATTTGTGCTTTGTCCAAAATGATCCTTATCGAATCAGACTTTCCTTGTTTGCCTGGTAACGCAAACTGCCCCAAAAAACACGAAACTACAGCGGGAAGAAGATTAAAGTCTTTGTATCTTAATTCGGTATATATCTTCTCCTATGTCTTCCATATCTCAATGTCGTCACGGTTATTTATGTGTCATGCGTAGGAATTTGCGGAAATCCAGGAAAATTCAAATCAAGTGTCGCGGGCGGATGAGAAGGAAGATGTTAAATAGTCCCAACGATTTAGTACACACAAGAATGCTTTAGCTCGAAATGACTCGGCATTTCAAGTTGGCCACACCACAAATGGCGCAAACACCGTCAATTAGTTAATCCACTTGACGCTCACCCCAAGAGGTGGTTTACTCTATTCCCTAAAACAAATGTCAAAAAATGCCACATCATTATTTTCCTTGAGGATGTAGCTAAGCAGCTTTCACTTATGGGATATGCCCAGTTAGGAAGTAAAGAACAACACTAATTCCCTTTCAATGAAATATGAACAGGACATGAGTACTCGCAATTGAGATAATGATTGAAGCATTCGCATAGGAAGGATAATAATTCTTCACTTCCACCCCAATAATCTGGTTCTAAATCTGTTAAATTTAAAATTTGACAAGAAACAGTTGATTCTCTAACTATGCCTCAAACGTGCAAAATGCGGAGCCCTCCTACTTGTATTACTCAGTTGTTCATGTCGCGCACACTCACCAGCTTTTCATTCGTTTCATCCTTGAGAAACAGTAACTGGTAAAGAATTAAACAGCTCAGGCATTCAAGCATTAAAAGCACAATTCATTCCATTGTCTTTCAATTGTCTGTTTTTTTTTAAACAAGAAATATGCAACACGAGAAAATTCGCCTCTTGAGAGATTTTCGTTGATGATAAGTATCAGCTAGAGGCCTGCTGAGCAAGCCAAGGTAATGTAAAGATGTTTCCAAAATTAGGATCTTTGTCTAAATTTAGCTCAACCTTTCGCAATGTCATCATTAACCGCTGCGCATTAGGCGAAAACGTGGGAACCGTCTCCAATTGTAAGTTTCTTTGAGGAAGACATCGACAGCAAACATTTGTGCTCTAAATTTTTGAAGTAAAACAGACCAAGAATTTGTGTTCACCAACAGCTAAACCAAGGAAAGGTGTTTTTCTTCTCAGTAAGGGGATGGAATATTGCTGCATGCCCAGTAGCAACCGGTAACAGAGAATGTAAGTGATTCCTAAGAAGCGTGCTTGTATAAAGATAACAATGCAGTTTTCTGCCACTTTTTCAAAAGGAGAGAAAAATGTTTTTAAATATTAAAATAAACAACAATAGCAAAGGCGACTATTTGTTTTAAGCTTATACGTGGAACGTATAACGAAACCATTTGGCACAATGAATCTTGCCTGAAGGCATTGGAAACAGCTGCAAAAACCGATTATTTTTAGACAGAGCCGGAGAAACAATCATTTCTAAAAAATTCAGCAGAAAAATGTGCGCGAGATGTTTGAACGTTGTGGACGATATTAGTTTCCAAATAGAAAAAAAAAGAAAAGTTAGCAACAGGGGCATAATTTCTTTTAATTTTTCATCACAATTTCTTAGAGGCGATGCTTTCAAAAAAAGCGTAATTAAAGCGTCGTGCTCACAAGCATGAAGTCTCTACAGGATGCCGGAGCAATGGGCGACGCGATGTTTAGACGATGTAGTGTCAAATATAAACAAACAAACACGAAATAACCTTCCTAGCTTTTGGCTTGCGCCTAAGGGCAATTTTAACCACTACCAGCATTTGTGTAGTTTGGCTGATATTCTATCTCTCCGATATCCCTCATTCTTTTTTAGCTATGATTTAAGCGGAGATCCAAGAATGCGAACCCAAATTAGGACAAGGCACGTCTGGCATTTGTGGAAAAAAGGAGGCCCTTTTCCGGTTCGTTTTCTATATGAAACGTGGCGTCAAATCTTCTCAGATCTACTTCCATCCTAACACCCCGAAATTGTAAAGTAAACGTTATTAAACAACAACAGCGTACGCGTGAAAATCTAAGTACAGTCTCGATTGTTCTACGTTACTGTACTATTTGCAAAGGAAGTAGTTCAAGCTCAATGACGTCATTGACAAGTGTCAGTGTTTCCGGTGTCTCGACTTGATCCCACCCTGTACTCACTGAAGCGGACAGCAAAACACGATGACGATCTCGAAAGCGTGGTCGGGTTGATCGTAGAAAGATGGTTGTACAGAAGTTTCTGGAATTTGTGTTGTTAAAAGAGCAAGTCGATCCAAAATTTGCGTCAGTCGAAAAGAGTGTAAATTATTTGTTTGGCGTACAGCTGACTCGAGAGGAAGAGGATAGCGAAAGATGTTGGGTGAAAGTCGAAGGCAGCGAACATGATATTAGGCGCGCCAAGGTTCGCAAAAAGTCTTGCTTCTGAAATGATTAGCTCTCCGCGATTACTCGACTTTGATTTGTTTTTCTAACTCTGAACGTGTTTTTCTATAGGATTACATCTTAGAGGTTTGTTCACGGACTTTCAGCTCCCTTGAAGAAGCAGAGATTGTTTGGAAGGAAAATAACATTACCTCGACCCCAGTTGACAGCAGTTCGACCAAACAAAACACATCTGTGGTCGAAGTCAATAACAACGACTGTCATAAAGACGAAAAAGAGTTGGCTCAGAAATCCACTGACAAGTTATTAGACTCTAACGAAATAAATCAGGTCAATCGGAGTGAAAACGCCGAAAATTATTTTTCGTCGGGAAAAGTATCCGAAAAGGAATGCGCTGAAACAGCAGAACAGACTTCGCCGTCCGTCGATGTAGAATTTGCTTCTCGAAGTGCATTTGAAATGGTTGTGAATCAAACTGAAGCTAAAAAACCCAGCGTTATCGTCAAGAAAGGTAAAGGCGACGAAAAAGGCTGCGATTCTTCGGTTAGTGACGAATCGCTAAGAGACTTCGCGAAGAAACTCGGTTACAATGAAGACACAATCACAACTGGGCTGAGCAAGCTTGGACCTTCAGCGGACACCAATTCACTGTTGTCAGAACTCGTGAAAGCTCAATCTTCTGTGAAACAGTTGGAAGAGGGATCGTCGACCTTCAACTACGAAAAACCAGTTCCTGTCCCTGAAGACTCGAGCTACCTGAGACCAATCGTCATCGATGGAAGTAATGTTGCTATGAGGTATGTTACGTTTGCTAAATCTTCAAATTGCGGTTGTTTCGCATGGTTAATGCATTCTTCAGCTATTACGCTGTTGGATTGAAGTTTTGTTGTTGTAAATATCAGATTTATCTTTCGCGGAATCACTACTAGCAAAACAATCGAGCACTTCACTCTTACGACATTTCTGTTTGCACAAATATAAGCTTATCCACGACGTACAGTGCACAACGAGGTGTGCAAGATGGCGATCTTGCTTAGTTATGCATTTCAGGTACTTCCATGAGGGATTTCATAATTTGATTGCATGGTACAAGATTTCACTCGTTTTATCTGGCGATATATCAAAGTTTTATCGCTTTAAATCAATTAGTGGTCTTTGAGTTTGCATAATTGTGCGTGTTTTAGGGCGGAAGGGAAGTGATACTGGCAATAGTCACACGTGTGTGCAAGCAAAATTGTTTTCGAGTTCAATTGTTTTTAATCACATTTGAATTCGTTGCACGTTTGATTTGGTATGTATCATTTAGTCTTGTATAAATCAGAACAGTTCGGTTTCTATTTGGCTGTTGTCTCGAAAATTTTAGTCAGTCTTAGGCAAAACTTGAATTTGGACTTTGAGATTTTCCTAAGTTTCCATACCGAACATGCCCAAAATAATTCTTTGCAGCTCAAATTTTCGTTATCGACGTTTTTTGGTTTAGTTTGGAAAAAATGTTCGCTTGATCCTTCTCAAACGGAACTGTTGGAATAATCTGTTTTTAGAACATACTTAGGAGTGAATACTTTCCGGAGGAAAAAAATTATTTGAATAGGAATGGATAAAATTGCTGAAGTGGTCTTAATTAGAGAATGAAGCCATTTCCGAAAGGTTATTTTCCTTGTGATAAATGTGGGATATCGGAAGTTTGGTTCATATGCACACAACCTTCACCCGTTACCAAAGTCTCGCTTACATTTTCCTGTACGCTTTCATTTTTTGGAGCTTAGCATATCGAGAGTATTTCTTTTCTACAAAGAAAATTCCTCTCATAAAAAACCCTCAGATATCCTCTTTTAAAAGGTTGGGGTTGATTGCTACAATACTTTTTTGATTTAAGCCTCTATTGATCTTTAAGTCAAATAACTTCCAAGGCAAAAAGAAATTCATAGCACCTTTGCGGTTATTTTTGCTTGCCAAACTTTCCCTTTCTGTTTTAAGTATCATTTTGTGTTACTTTGACTTTGGCAAGGCTAACCTAGAAACAGAATTAAATGGCTACTTTGGAATGAGGGTATTTAAGTTTTTAATGATGCTAGCAATCAACCAGATAAGAACAAAAAAATTTTGAAATAACCAAAAATGCTACAAAACTGTTGCTGAAATGAAAAGGGCTTTTAGAGTGCTTATTAATTGGACTGGCTATATGAACAAGTTTGTCGAAAGGAAGCATTTTAAAGTAATCCGATATGTCTTCTGGCTTTTTCCTTGACACGGAAAGGTATCTCAGATATTTCAAATATTTGACTCTGGATAATTGACCACAGTCCTGAAATTTTAGAGAATGACTCTTGAGGGCTTGCAGCTTGATGCTTGGCAAAATAGTAGGGTGAAATCATAACATGTTGTCAACCTTGTCAAGACCTTGACACACTACCTAGGGGCCATGTGCATGAAATAATTGTTGAAATAGTAAATTCAGTGTCAAGAGGTAGAAGTTGAAACATAATTGGTGTGCACAGGCCAATTTGTTTTATTTTTTTAACTCCCAAGATCTTACTATTAATTCTTCCCTTAAGCTGCTACACATTTCCTTGTAAGTTAGTCATGAGAATTTATTGTTTGGCCAAGATAAATTCTACCTGATAAGATTGATATATTTATGAGAATTATAATTTTTTGTTGTGATTTTGAACTTGGTTAGTTCCAATAATGTTTCATGTCCAGTAAAGCTTGGTTATGCTTTTTGCTGTGTGTTGGGATTATAATCCTCTGCATGAAAATGAAATGTCAATTTTTTTTTAACTGAATTCTGGACATTTAAAGGTGGATCTGTTCTTTTACTCTTGAAATTAAAATCCATTATTCCAAATATGAAGAGAAGCTAGTTTTGAATCATCAATAACCTCAATTAAATTTAATCCCACTAAGTGATTTTATTTTTATTGTTCTCATAGTCATGGGAATCAGAAAGTATTCTCCTGTAGGGGAATTGGCCTTGTGGTGGACTGGTTTCTTGCAAGAAATCACCTCAACATAAAAGTTTTTGTCCCTATGTGGCGTAAAAATGCACCACGCCCTGACTCGCCAATTACCAATCAAGAGGTTCTGAAAAGGCTTGAAGAGGACTGCATTCTTGTGTGGACCCCAAGCAGAACAGCTGCCAATGGGAAAATCATCAAATGTTATGATGACCGCTACATCATCAAGCATGCTGCTGACAACGATGGTGTTATTGTTTCAAATGACAACTTCCGCGATTTGATGGCAGAGAATCATGAGTGGAAGAAAGTCATTGAACAGCGTCTTTTGATGTACTCATTTGTCGACGACAAATTCATGCCACCAGATGACCCTAGTGGGAGGCATGGTCCTACCTTGGATGAGTTCCTCAAAAAGGGACATGGAAAATTGTGTCCATATCAGCGCAACTGCACATATGGAAAGCGCTGCAGATTTCTTCACCCTGACAGAAACCAAGTGAGGGAACCAAACTGTGTACCAGCTAACACAGCACATTTACCACCAGAAGTCCCCTATGGACAAGTTTCAAGGTTACCTAAACCACTGCCCCCATGCCCTCCAAGGCCACTCCCAGCCACACCAACTGAATTTCACCAAAAGCCTCTGCCATTACCACCACATAGTGAATTCCCTGCAGAAATGGCAAGGGTGTTTCCACCAACCTTGCGGACAGGCCAGGTTGTGGGAATTGGAGAGCGCAGATCCGACCCTTTGCCACGTCAAAAACAACTCCCTCCTGATGTGCAAGCATTGCAAGACCGGTTTCAGAGAACTCACAGCATTGGAAGTGTTCAAGACCAAGCTTGCGGTGGGGCTCCGGTTGGCCCTGTTAGTCCAATGTTGCGACGTGGCAGTCTACCCCATGCCTGTCATCCTCAGCAGTACTCATCCCTAACAGGACACCCTGATATAATGGTGCGTGGCTCTATGACACTGCCCCGAATGCAAAATGAAAAGAGTGTGGTTGGGGGTGATTGGATGATACAAGAGCAGATGTTTGGAGGGAGCCCATACCATTATAGACCCCAGTACCATTCCAACCCACCTGTCAGTAGTCCATCACCTTACAAAGGCCACCCACCAGCAAGCCTTCCACCGAACCACTGGAATCTTCCACCTTTCTCTCAGGCACACCATCAATATCCTCCTGCACAACAGTATCATTACGGACCAGCTCCACCTTACGGTTATAGTCGCACTCCATATGGACAGAACAACAGCTACATGTACCGCTCACGAGCCCCTCCAATAATTGGTGGAATCTCTGGTGATGTGACAGATAATCCTGAAGAGGGTGATAACTCATCACATGAGGATCTTAGAATCAAGGCCTATGAAAAGCTTTCTGAAATATTCCCTGATGAGGTTGAGAAAGTTCTCAAGATCCTTGATAAGTATTCTGATGAAACTAGTATTGATATATTGACCCAG